TCGGACTAAAGAAAGGAAAATCCACTAGGGATGATACAACCTGCTGCTAATCCTGGAAAGGAGCACAATTCACGCATCTGCTGAGCAAGAGACTAAGTCGTAAACTGGGTGCTCTTGCACAGCAGAGGCGTGGCAACTTTCCAGACTTAGTCTTATTGGAGCAGGAAGATTAAGACAACCCACTCGTGGATTCTCCATCCAATCATGCTGGAGAACGGCTCCACCTGCTCAGAATCCTCCTTCAAGGATGGGATCCAGTGCTGGATGGCACTGACCAACTTAGAATAAAGTGGAATTAATTTCTTCGTATGGTTTGGAAATCACACTTCTATTGGTGGAGCCTAACAGTGCTGGTTGCGTTCCATCGGCAATTCGTTGGCAATCCTTTTCACAAGTCCTACGGACGTTCAGTTCTTCCCCATCCTTTCTTGGCGCAATGGATTTGTATTGTCTAAATGCATTTGTCTCCGTTCATTAAATCTCGTTCTGTTCTTCTCAAAGATCATTTGTAGAGAGAAATATATATGGTTCTGTAGGTTGACCTACAGCCGTGTTTTTCAAGCGGGGCAATTTGAAGGTATGTGGACTTCAAACTTCCAGTCAGCATAAGTTGACATCCACGTATCTTAAAAGTTGCCAAGGTTGAGAAACGCTAATCTTGAGACAAAATATAGACTGCCAAGGGATACAACTGGTCACTGGGAGTGACATCTCTCAGTCCATGGATCATGGAACTTCTGGGTTGGGTTAAATTCTTTGTGTGGCTGTTGATCTGCTCCTGGGCTACAGCACTCAAGAGTGTGAAGAGCATGCCTACCACCCCTGGATCGGTCTGGCCAGTCTTTCAAAACCAATTATCTAGAAGTGGCACACAACACGTCAGCCTTGTCTCCATTTTCCCTTCATCTCCTGTGGGCTGAGCTGCAGTTAATAAACCAAGACAGGCCGGGAACTGGGGAAATTCCGGAGAGCTGAAGTTGAGAAAAGCATCCGGCATTATTGGAAGAAGGTTGAATACACACAGGGATTGATAGCAAAAAAAAAAAAAAAAACAGCCAGCATCTGTTCAAGCGCAGAGGCTTCTGAATTGCAGACAGGAGGTCAGTTGTACAAGGTCTTGTTGCTGCCTTGTCTCTTGAGGGACATCTCAATGACCTTCACTAGCCAAACAACATCTCCCATCTTCCTTCCTTTGGAAGCATCCGACTGGCGATTCGGGAGGTTGGGACAGCTTCAGAATTGGAGGCATCCATCTCCCAAAACTAAGCACTGTTGAATTTCTCTGCAGAGTCCCCACCCCACCCCCATCCCGCAGTCCTGGAGAGCTGTATCTCATCCCTGCTTTTAATTTCCCACAATGCTGCTGAGTGCTGCAGGCATCTTGGGAAATTAAAGGGGCTGCTCAATTCCGCTGCTTGGCCCTGTCCAAGGTGCTGATCTAGGAAAAGAAGCGTGGAAAGTGAAAATGTGGACGTTTGCTTGGTTGAAGAGAGTTAAGTCCCCACAAGTCTGATCTCCTTAATGTCAGATATTCAGGGCTGAAACCAGGAGGGGATTTTTTTGGGAAAGCAACTGCCTGAGCTACACTCCTAATATTTGATTGTGTATTCCTTGAGAAGTGTGAACGAATACACCTCCTTCTAACACGTCTTGGGCAAAAAGGAGCTCTTTCTATCTCTTTGACTGACAGTTCACTAATGTGCTGCAACTTCAGCCGAAGTCTTGAAAAACTGGGTAAGGGGCTTGGAGGAGGAGGAGGAGGAGGGTAACCAACTCTCTGAGCATTTTTAAATGCTCATCACTTCCCTTGCTTCCTTCTTCCCCATCCCTTATCTCCTTTTGTGTGTGTGTGTGTGTGTGTGTGTGGGAGAATTTGTCTGCTACTTTTTTGTGTGTGTTTTTTTTAAAAAAAAGAAAAGCAGAGAAAGAGCCTGGTCTGCAGAGCTTCATAAAAATGATAAATTGCTTTCAGATATTGGGCAGAAGAGAAAGAAGAGTTCATTTTTTTATTTGACAATATTAGTCTCTTAGTAGCGCATTGTTGCCATGCATATGAGCTTAAATTCTCCAGGCAGCTGGAGCCAAATATCCGTGTATTGAAGTGTAAATGAACCGCTAGCAAAGCTTTTTTTTCTTTCTTTCTTCTCTCCCCTTCCCCTTTATGATTTTTTTTTCGTACTTTTTTTTTTTTGAAAAAAAATTGTTTTTCCACTGATATTATATACGGCAATCGTATCTCCCTCTCCCTGAGTATCTGTGCCGTGTCCACAGAATCGTGAAAAATCCCCGACATGATATGCTAATCAGTTCTAATCAAATCAGTAACTTGGAAGAGCGCAGAACAAGAGGTGGGATGTGAATCCTACTCTCTCTCTTGCGATCCACACTGGGAGGTGACATACACCCCCCATCCCCTCAGATTTGCAAGGTATCTTAAATGGTAATATCTAAACAACAGGTCAGACACTGTGGGAGCCGTGCAAAACATCACCTCACACGCAGATGGGTAAAATTAGCCACGGCTAATGATGTGATATTCCAGCCTTCTTATTTTTTTATTTTTGTTTTCCATCCTTCCTTAGTTCTTCAAACACATGCTGAGTTCAGCCCCCAGCAGCCTTGTACTGCACACTGGTCCCTTGGACTAACCGTGTTGAGCTAAGACAGGCCGACAACCGGTCCTCGGCTTATAACGGTCCTTTTCGTGACCGTTCGAAGTTAACAGCACTGAAAAGAAATTACAGCCGTCCATTTGGTGACGGTTCAAAGTTGCAACAGCACTGGGAAACAGGACCGTTTTCACGTGGCTGTGGCAGCATCGCCAAGGCCACGTATTCAAAATGCAGATGCTCGGCAACCGACTCCTATTTACGACGGTCACAATGTCCCAAGGTCACATGATCCCCTTTTGCGATCATCTTGACAAGTAAAGTCAGTGGGAAGCCAGATTTATTTAATAACCCTGTTACTAAGTGAACGACGGCAGGGATTCACTTAACAACAGTGTCAAGTAAAACGGGGCAAAACTCACTTAACAATTATGCTCATTTGTGGTCGTAAGTTGGAGGACTACCTGAATGATGGAGCTGAAGGCTGTGTCGGTGTTACAGATGTGTCCTGCGTAGATCTGCCTCAGTTGGCCTTCCCTTCCTCCACTGCCCCCTCTCTGCAAGCTTAAGTCACACACAACTCCTTCGAAGTAAAAAACCTGCAACGTTCACAGGTTGTTTAGCTATAATCCACAGTGATCCCCTTCCAGAGAGCCAGTCTTGGAGAAAGGATGGTGCTCAGAAACACCTGGAAGAGACCCTCCTTTCTCCAGCCCTGCTCTAGAGAGTCAGAGTTGGTCAAGTCAATCCAATCTTCCCAATCTGGAGCTTTCTAGAGACGTTGTCTGAACCTGGGTGGTAGACCAGCCCTTCTGGTTGGCTCCATGTTGGGTGACCCAGATGGGGCAGGATTGAATCTGTTAAATCTCTTTCTGCAGGTGGGCTCTCACATTGAGAGGGCCCCAAATAGCGCATCAGCCATGCCTTATTTCCAACCTCAAGTTCTTGGTTCTGACACTGGACCATGAGCAGACATCCAGCTGTTGAGTAGAGCGCTAGGTTGGCCAACGGAAGCTTCAACATCTGGATGTTCTACCTGAGACCAGAGCCCAAAAGGTGATGATGGGAAACGCCTTGTGATTCGGGGCCGAGCAAGAATAAATCGGAGGAATAAGCATGAGTTAGCAGGTTCTGTTCCCGACACTTGCAGACCTGGTGCAAATTTTAAAAGGTGTGGAAACGCCAGCACAAGTGTGAGCGAACGCTCAAGCCTCAGCTAAGCAGGGGTTTTAGAACCAGGGTTTCATCGCCAGGAAACACAAGATCAAACAGGTACAGGCTGCTAGCCTAGGGCTTTGCGCAGCTGAATATAAATTTACTACCTGCCCCCCAAAAAAGATCTGAGCAAGATCTTGTAGGTAGCTCCGTGTCTGCTACTTCCAAGATTGCAGGTCTGGGTTTTTAAGTTTACCTTACCTGGCTTCCCTTCTGCTCTTCTCTCTCCCCCCCCCACCCACCCTCAACCTTCAAAATTTTAAAAAAAGAACAGCTAAATCATCTCTGCTTCATTTGCAATGTAAATCGGAAACTAGTCTATGCCAGCTTAGCTGATTACATGATCAAGAGAATGGTGCATCTGTTATTAGCTGCACTACACACACACACACACACACATACACACACACACACCCTCTTTTAGAATCCTATATGGAATTATGGTCAGGTTGCGTAGGTAAAAAGGACGGCTTCGGAATGGTTTGTATGGAAGTTTTTCATTTCAGCTGGCCCTGCCCTTATGGCTGAACGACATCTCCCAGCATCCCTCACCTCTTGGCCTCCTGCCTTAGGGGGCTGCTGGGAATTGTACAATTGTTCATTTTTGTGTGTGTGGGGGGGGAGAGATCTGGGAGATCTGCCCTCCTCCCTTTCTCCTTTGAAAATCAGATTTATGAGTTCATTACATTTATTCCCTTCCTTCTTCGTGGATTCATCTGATCTCCGGGCAAAAGGGCCACGGGGAAGCACAGAATTTTGGAGACAGGCTCTGTTGTCAAGGCAGTCTATGTTACAAGGCTGAGCCTTATTACTATATGAACCCAGGTTATGAATTCACACATTACGTGGAATTGTAAACTAGCTCACCTGGAGAGTCACCTTCTACCAATTCCTCCCTCTCCCAAATAGCCAAATGTAACATTTGTAAAAAAAAAAATAAATTAAAAAAATAAAGGCAGGATACAAATAAAGACACCAATATAAATATCAAGTGGTGTGAACTGGATCTGAGGCTGAATTCATTGAGGTCAACACCTATTCTTGGACATCCGTGTCCCATTTTGTCTATAAAGTGCCAATTTTGCCTACTTTTCCTCCTATGGACTAGAAACCTGAGCCTGGTTTTTATCCTTCAGTCTGTGCAGAGCATAACTCTCTTTTCCTTTCCATCCACAGTTTGTCGAGGGATGCTGTGCGGCTTCGGTGCGGCCTGCGAAAAGAACCCCACGGACCCTTCCCAGGGTTTATGTGTTTGTAAGAAGATCACCTGTCCTTCTGTAGTGGCTCCGGTGTGCGGCTCAGATTACTCAACCTATAGTAACGAATGTGAGCTGGAGAAAGCTCAGTGCAACCAGCAGCGTCGCATTAAAGTCATGAGTAAAGGAGCTTGTGGTAAGCGTGGGTGGTCAACATCTCATCCATCCCTCCTCTGATCTCTTAAGGCTGCTGTTACTGCGGCTTCTTTTTCTATTTCCTCCTCCACCTTCGGATGAATTCATCGTCTTTAACAGAAAAAAATTGAAAATGAACAAGCAAGAGAGGGGAAAAGGGGAAAAAAAAAAAAAGCGATGCAGAGATTTAGTATCGGTAAGTGGACAAAGCATTGGCCAAGATTGTGCAGTTAGAACTCAGTATATCACTGATGGAAAACTAACGCTAACAAAACCAGGAGCGCATCAAGTTATTTTCACCAGGATCTTAGAAAATAGTTTTGAACCTCTGAGCTGTCAAAAGAACAATTTTTTTTGTTGGTTGATACCCTCCCACAAAAAAGAAAGCGAGAGAGAGAGAGAGAGAGAGAGAGAGAGAGAGAGAGAGAGAGAGAGAGAAAATTATAACTGAACATTTAAGTTTCCATTTATTTTGTTCGTTGATACCCTCCCACAAAAAATAAAAGAGAGAGAGAGAGAGAGAGAGAGAGAGAGAGAGAGAGAGAGAAGGAAGAAAAGAAAGAAAATTATAACTGAACATTTAAGTTTCCATTTTTTTTGTTTGTTGATACCCTCCCACAAAAAAGAAAGAAAGAAAGAGAGAAGGGAAGAAGGAAGAAAAGAAAGAAAAAGAAAGAAAGAATTATAATTGAACATTTAAGTTTCCAACTTCCCCTTTGCAGTTCTCTGAGTAGTGTATAACCTCAGCCCTTCTTGGTGAAAAATAGGCTGGTTGACTTCATCACCTTTGCAACGCACCCTCACAAGATGCAGGCTGTGATTTTTTTCCCAAGTCCGGTTTGCACCGGGTGATTTTTCCAAAGAAGGCCTCATAAACGAGGCTAATGAACCCTCCATGGTAGTAAGGCACAGACCACCCGAAAGCAAGGAACTGTGGAAATGAAAACACCCGTCTGCTTTTTTTCCAAGTAAATTAACTTGACCTTTCCCCCCCCTCCTCTCTCTCTGATGGAGAAGTTCTTGCTTTTAGCGATAAATCTCCGGCTTTCTGGACTCCTGCAGAGAGCTCAGTAGAGGAGGAGAGAAAGGAGAGAGAGAGAGAAAGAGAAAGAGGGAGGGAGAGAGAGAGAGATGTCATTCTGATTTATTTAAAATAATAACAATGGGTTTTATTTATTTATTTATTTTCAGTGTTTATATGCCGCCCAATCCCAAGGACTCAGGGCGCGTACAAAGTTAAAACAATGATAAAACAATAAAATAAAGCAGTCATACCGCGAGTCCGATCATATCCCGGCCCCCCGGGATATGGGGTTATGAGGGGGGCAACGTCCAAGGAAGGAGGGGGTAATTAAATAAATAAAGGGCATTATAAATAAGATACTATTCCCCATCTTACAGCAGCCGGCAGCCTTTTAAATGTCTGCCTCTAATTACATTTCGCTTATGGCACATTAAGGCCATCTCCTTCTTGCCATTCCAATCTCGTTCACCCTTTACTTGGTGAACTCAGTGGGCAAAGCAATGCCCGGAGTTTCTGTGGAAAGGAAACTAATAATATTGAGCTTCCGGCCGCAGACAGACAGCGGTGGCCGTGCTTAAAAAAGAGTTGAAGGGCTTTTCACCCTGGCAAATATTTGTAGCCCCGGGGTTGAACTACGTAACCTTCGTTGGCCTCTGAGCTTGGTGCTTTGCTTGTAGACCCAGCTAGGGTCATCAATGCTACAAGGGATCAAAGTTTGGAGGAGAAGGAGAACTGGGGTGCCCCCTGAGTTCTGTTGTTTTATGGCAGACATTTCATTACCCAGCAAGGTAACGTCATCAGTGGCAGAAGGGAGTGGGGTGGGCGGGTCTCTGTTTATATACAAGTGGCTTACCCTATCAGTGTTAACGGGAGGGTAAGCCTCTTGCCACTTGCTTACAGGGCAAACCAACCAACTTGGTATTCACATTTATTTATATATAAATAGAGAGCGAGCCCCTCTGCCTTCTAGCCCTGATGCTGTTACCTAGTTTGGTAGTGAAACGTCTGCAAGAAAACAGCCAAGCTTAGACAGCCCCAAGGACCCCCAAAACAGGCAAATGTTGGCTGTGGAGATGAATTGTCGGGGTGAGCATGTTAACAGCGATGCCGTCATTTCTGACTCTGAAACTGGTGGAACCAAGTTGTTTGAGGCATCCCATCTAATCCCCGTTTTCTTGGACTCCTTTACAAGCGTCCTGCCATTCCCAATCACGATCCGGAAGCTGGTTTTGCCTGCCTTTTGATCCCAGGATTCCTGTTCACCAGGTTGTCTCTTCTCCTCCTCTGGTCAGGTTCCAAAGACCCCTGCGCAGAGGTGGCCTGCAGCTTCGGAAGCACCTGCGTTCGGTCCACGGACGGGCAGTCGGCCAAGTGCATCTGCATATCCATTTGTGGCAGCGTTCCTGAAAACGCCGTGTGCGGCAGCGACGGCAAGGACTATCGCAGCGAGTGCCAACTGAACCGGCACGCCTGCGACAAGCAGGAGAACATCTTCAAGAAGTTGGATGGGCCGTGCGGTAAGTCCCACCCTGGGGTTTTGGCGTTGCCTGATTTTGGGGCTTTTTGTATTTTTGTATTTGTATTTAATTTTATTTATATGCCGCCCAATCCCAAAGGACTCAGGGCGGCGTACAGAGTTAAAACAATCATAAAACAATAAAATAATAAAATAATACAGTCATACCGCGAGTCCGATCATATCCCCCCCCCCGGGACATGAGCCCCAGGCCTGCCGGAACAGGAGAGTTTTAACGGCTTTCTTAAAGGCCGGCAGGGTGGGAGTAGTTCGAACCTCGGGGGGAAGTTGATTCCACCAGGTCGGAGCAGATGTTTTCTTGCAGATGTTTCGTCACCGATCCAGGTAACCTCACCAGTATATGGGGGAGTGTTGAGTCCATTCAAGGCACGCACAATGGAGCTGTTAGGGATCGTCCCCGCACTTCGCATTGCCCCAGGCGCCGTAAAATCAGATTTTTTATGTCCCGCTTTCTGCAAAGTCACCGAAGCTCCCAAGATTGCGGTGAACTCACAAATGAGGTTTTGTGAAGTGACTGCCTTCTCCCCCAGTGCGACACGTCAGAGATTGGGGCTTTAAAAAAAAAGGATGTAATTGGGGCTTCCATAAATCCCAGCTGGAGGTGTTGTGGGTCTTTGGCACCCACGGGCATTGTGTTGTCACCCTCTTGACAGTTTTAGGTGTTGGAGGAAAAAGTGTACCTTTCCGAAGCTATATATAGTTTTGTTGATTATGGGGGGGGGGGGAAGCCTCTTTCCTCCTCAAACTTCCTTTATATTCAGATGTGTTCTCCATGATCACTGATTCAGGAATGAATAGACAGACAGACAGACAGATATATAGATATAGTGGAGACTTCCTTCCTTCTTTTCCCTCCCTCCCTCCCTCCCTCCCTCCCTCCCTCCCTTCCTTCCTTCCTTCCTTCCTCCTTCTGTCCTTCCCTCTATCCACTTCCCTCCCTCCCTCCCTCCCCTTTTCTTTTTTTTCTTTCTTTTCTTCTGCAAAAGCCCACTGGAATCATGAGAGCCTGCCTCTGATCTGCTCTTCATGTTGTCTGCAGGGGATAAGGTGTGATTTGTTTCCTGTTCCCCCCCCCCCCAAACAGACAGAGACACACATACACACACAAGGTTCTTCAGTCTCCATGGTGACAGGTTAATCTATGGTCCCTCTTGGTCTGACACAGAGAAGTAGGTGTTCCACAGCACTGTGTGGGGCTATATTTAAGGGGGGGGGGGAGAAACCCACAAATGTATATTTTTGCATTTTGGTGATGAAGGGAACAGAAGCCTGCTGCTTCTCCTGGTATTATTAGCCAGGGTGTTGAAAGCGCCCTTGCGGAGAAGCTGAGGAGGGGATTAGCCAACTATGGTATCAGGCTGATCTGCAGCCTAGCGTCTTTGGCTTCCTGATAAGTCTACCCACACGTTGAAACGAAGGTGGTCTGGTTAAGCCCAGATTCAAGAGGTTAACTGATGGCCTGTGGTCCCTGGGTTGTTTTCATCCCAGCTGCTCAGCGGTGAATGCTCCAACGCTGGAAGTTTTTAAGAAGAGACTGGACAGCCATTTGTCTGAAATGGTGTAGGGTTTCCTGCCTGAGCAGGGGGTTGGACTAGATGACCTCCAAGGTCCCTTCCAACTTTATTATTATTATTATTATGGATCATCGCACAGTCAGCCAGATGTTCAGACTGGATTTGGCATTTTGTCTACCTATCGAGTCCTTACCCAGGACCTGGGATAGGCAGATGTGGATGTTTGATGGTATTACAGATATCGTCGCAGGATGGAAGCAGTTCCTAGTAAGGCCGCCTTTTGCAATTGACTAATAGCAAATTTGTCAATGCCAATGGTGTTCAAGTGGTGCTCCAGTTGTTTTGGTATTATTATTATTATTATTATTATTATTATTATTATTATTATTATTATTATTATTATTATTATTATTATTATTATTATTATTATTTTGCATCCTTTTATATATGTATATATTTTGGCCCAGTTGTTCAGCGAACAGCTATAGTTGTTCAATGAGTCATGCAGTCGTTAAGCGAATCTGACTTCCCAGATCGACTTTGCTCGTCGGAAGCCAGCTGGGAAAGGTTACAAGGGGCGATCACATAGACCCTGAGCCATGGCAGGCATCGTAAAGGCAGGCCAGTTCCCGAGCAGCAAAATTTTAATGCGTGGGATCGTGCGTGAAAAAAAAACAATCACAAATCCCTCTTTTTCCAATGCCGTTGTAACCTGGGAAGGCCACTAAATGAATGGCTGTAAGTCAGGGATTACCTGTGCCGCTTTTCCAACTGGTGGGTCTAGTTTGGGGCAAATTCCACCCGTTTCTTGGTATTCTGAAAACAGGTAAGCTACCAAATTCAGCTCTGAGCTGCGGATGGCTTTCTTGCAAAAGCTGTTGGGTTTGAGAAAGACCCAAGAGAGCGAATCTGCACGAAACGTTGGCAGCGTGTAGTGCCGTGATTCTGGGTATATTAATCTGTTTTTCCTTCCTTTCCAATTTCCCACCCTTCCCTTCCATCCATCCATCCCACTGGCCTTTTAGTCACTTGACTGCTTGGAAAGTTGCTCTAACGTGATAATTGAGCTGAATTCACCCCAAAGGACAGGATTGGGCCAGGCAAGCTGGCCTTCTCCTGGTTTAGCCCAGCCTTTTCCCACCTTGGCCATTTTGAGTGCATCTGGACTTCAACTCCCAGCATTCTCAGCAATGGCCATGCCGGTTGAGGAATTCTGGGTACCGAAGGCCAGCTATCTGGAGGTTGCCCAGGTCGAGAGCCGTTGGTTTGGCCTGGGGTGTGAAAATTGTGTCTATGGTGTTCTCCAAAACGTCATCCTTTATTTTTCCTCCGCAGATCCTTGCAAAAACACCCACAACGACATGAACAGAGTTTGCCGGGTCAATCCTCGCTCGCGACGGGCCGAGTTGCTGCCCAGGCCCGAAAGCTGCCCCCCGAAGAAAGAGCCGGTATGTGGGGATGACGGGATGACTTACGAGAACGAGTGCACCTTGCAGAGGACGGGCGCCATCCGAGGCATCGAGATTCAGAAGTTGCGTTCAGGACAGTGCCAGGTTCAAGGTAACTTTTCGTTGTTGTTTTTTTAATCCCGCTTTTGTATTTTTTATAAATAACGCGATGTTCCTTCTTTCTTCTGTTTTCCCTACCATAACAACCCTGTGAGGTATGTGGAGCTGGCCCAAAGTCACTCAGCTGGCTTTCATGCCTAAGGCGGGACTAGAACTCACCGTCTCCTGGTGGTTGGTCCAAAGTCACCCAGCTGGCTTTCATACTAAGATGGAACTAGAACTCCCAGTCTCCTGGTGATTGGCCCAAAGGCACCCAGCTGGTTTTCATGCCTAAGGCGGGACTAGAACTCAGAGTCCCCTGGTGATTGGCCCAAAGGCACCCAGCTGGCTTTCATGCCTAAGGCGGGACTAGAGCTCCCAGTCTCCTGGTGATTGGCCCAAAGGCACCCAGCTGGTTTTCATGCCTAAGGCGGGACTAGAACTCAGAGTCCCCTGGTGATTGGCTCAAAGTCACCCAGCTGGCTTTCATGCCTAAGGCGGGACTAGAACTCACCGTCTCCTGGTGGTTGACTCAAAGTCACCTGGCCAGCTTTCATGTCTAAGGCAGGACTAGAACTCCGAGTCTGCTGGGTTTCAGCCTAGTTCTCTCTCTCTCTCTCTCTCTCCCTCTCTCCCTCCCTCCCTCCCCCCACCTGCCTTTTGGGGACCATCGAGACTGACACCCCCTTCTCCCCTCGGTGTCTCCAGACAGATGCCGGGAGGAGTGCCGTTTCAACGCCGTGTGCCTCATCCGGCGGGGCCTTGCCCGCTGCTCATGCGAACGGGTGGCCTGCGACGGCGCCTACCAGCCCCTCTGCGGCAGGGACAGCCGGACTTACTTCAATGACTGCGAGCGCCAGAAGGCGGAGTGCCAACAGAAAGCCGCCATTCCAGTCAAGCACCATGGACCTTGTGGTAAGTGCAGCCAGACGGGCCCAAAACCTGCCCGTTTCCCCGCCTCACGCCGGCGAGCGCAGCCGAAAGAGGTAAGTCTGACCCGTCCTCTCAATCCGTTGTTCCCGCCACTCCTCCTGTGGTCTCTGTCCTGTTTGTCATCCTTTTGTCCTTAACGGGGAATTGTGCATAAGAGTGTTCAGTCCTGTCCACCTTTTCATCTCTCCATCTCTCGTTCCCGTCTTACCTGCTTGCCGATTCCTTTCTCCCACCAACGGCTTGGGCATCCCACGCTCCCTCTGCACCATCAAGGCCAGGTTCCTCAAAACGCACCTTTCCGTTCTCCAAATCTTTCTCAGTTTGCAGGGGTGAAACCTTGGCGGTGTCTTTTCTTCCTGGGGCTCCAATCTGTGGAAGTCAGAAGCGGAGGCACCCTTGCCCTAAAGTGCTCAGAGCAGGCAGCAGGATCCAGCCTGTCCTTTTTCTTTCGTGCCCCTTTCCTGTTAACGTTTGCCCATTTGCAAATCAATGACCGATAACAAGCATTCAGAATAAATTGCAAATCGTTGGCCTATACGTCGTTCCTTTGGCCTCCTTCCTCTCTTTTCCCCCCAAGTGGAATTTTTAACTGGGACCCAGGAATCTGGATTTTCTTTATAATAAAGTTTCGAGTCATACCTTTAGCTCAAGGAAGTCGTCCCGTGCAGAGAATCAATTGCTGAGGATGCTTTTCTTTTTTACATGGACTTGATTCGCAAGCATGTCAAAACTAGACTTAGCAACTTCATTCTACACAACATGCAGATGTGATTACTGCTAACCCTGGTTCCCCTTGCAAGCTGCCTATTCCATCCTTTATCCTGTGGTTCACTATACGATGCCAACCCTCAAAACGAGTTAGAATCAGAAACTGAATTAAATGCACTAGTTAAACCATGGTAAATACATTTTCCACCTCCTCTGAAAATTCACAGGGGAAGGATAACGATATTATCTCTCTGAGGAGCATCCAGAAAAGAAAAGAAAAGAAAAAAAAAAGATAAAAACTCTTTGTTTTTCTGGCTGGCTTACAAAAAAAAAAAAAAAGGTGCGAAAGGAAGAAGAAAATTAATCTCGCCTGTCTGGTGTGCAGAAGCAAAGCGGATTACATATCACACACACAACACCCACCTCCCTGAAAACAGTCAAACATTTGCATTGAGGCAAATAATTCTCCACTAATTTTTCTGCCACCGTACGTCTTTTAATCTTCAAATCGCCCCGAGATTCTTCGATATGGGAAAGGTAAAATAATCACAGGTTTAATTTAATGCATAGTCGTTCACCAAAGCGTTTATTACAAATGAAAAGCAGCTTTTCTGCATGCTCAGTTCACGGCAGTTTGCAAATACGAGTTTTGAACCCACACACACACACACACACCGATTTTAAACGTGCCCCTTCACCAGGCAAAACGTGGCCCCTCTGCGTGGAACTGACCAAAAATTGAGAGAGGAAAGCCGGACGCCAATTCTCTGCCAGGGGTAATTAAATTGGGGTGTGTGCCTGGAAACTGGGGGGAATCAGTCCATGCTATGTCTGTCTCTTCCCCCTTCCTTTCTTTCCCTCCTTCCTCTCTCCTTCCTCTTTCTCTCTTTCTTCCTGTTTGTCTTGTGTCTTCTAGTGTTTTCCGTTCGGAGAAAGGAAGTGGGCCTGCCCAGTTCTCCAGTTCACTCCACCAGGAGAATTCTCCTGCAAGGTTCGCTGCTTCCCTCTCCCGCATCCTCTTCGCTCCTTCCTGGCATTGCCTGTTTCCCTGCATTTTTCAGAGGGGGGGGGACCCCATTTTCATACTGCTTCGGAAGCTTTTTTTTTTTTTTTTGCACCTTTCTCTTTGTCCGTCGAACGTCACGGGATCTGGCAGCCGGCATTTTTTCTTCCCTTTCGTGGATAAGACCTCTCAGCATCTTAGGTTGCATCCTTCCCAAGCACGATGCTTTCCCACAACCTTTTGAGCCCAGAGACTGAATTAGCTCATTTTCTGGGCTGGGGTGGTGCCACACTTGACAAATGGGCTGATGTGAGACAACTGGCAGAGCCAGGGGGGAGAAAAATTATCCCAAGGTTAAGTCTAATCTAAGGAGGTTGGGGACACGTACCACGGTGCCTTTTGCTGGCCTGATTAAGCCTGTTGTATGAACACAGGTAGTAGCCCTTGACTTAACAACCATTCGTCTAGCCGCCATTTGGAGTTAGAACTGCACCCAAAAAAAGGGACTTAGAACCAATCCTCGTGCTTAACGACTGACAACGGCATCCCTAGGGCCACGCGATCAAAAGTTCAGACGTTTGGCAACCGGTACGTATGTATGATGGTTGCCGCGCCCTGGGGTCATGTGATCCTCCATTTGCGACCCTTCCCCGCCAGCCAACAGCGGAGAAAAAGGTGGTAAAATCGGGCAGGGCTTTCCGCGCAGCCCGCTTGCTTAGCCACGGAAATCCTGTTGAGGTCGTAAAGTCGAGGACTGCGTGTCAGCGAACGCCCAGCACATGAGCTAATTGGGAGGGCTGTTACTTTCAGAATAGATCCATTTCTCCCTCCTGACCTTCCTGGTTAGCTTTTGAGAATGGTTTTACCGCCCTTGTAATTTGATTTACGCACCACGGCCCAGGCCGGGAGCTCAGTTTCCTTCTGATCAATGGAATAATAGAATAACAGTGTTGGAAGGGACCTTGGAGGTCCTCAAGTCCACCCCCAGGAGCCCTGGTGGCGCAGCGGTTAGAATGCAGTATTGCAGGCTAACTCTGCCCACTGCCAGGAGTCCGATATTGACCGGTTCAAGGTCGACTCAGCCTTTCATCCTTCTGAGGTCGGTAAAATGAGGGCCCAGGTGGTTGGGGGTCAATACGCTGGCTCTATAAACCGCTCAGAGGGGGCTGTAAAAGCACGACAAAGCGCTATATAAGCCTTTAAGTGCTGTTGCTATTTAAATTTGACTCCCCACCACTGGCGGGGAACAAAAATTCCCACGATTGGCGGGGCCTCCTTCAAACGCCAGGGTTCCCTCCCCTAGTTTTCTGCAAGTTGCTTTTTCATCCCAGTTTTAATAACAGAGATCCTCTAGTGGCTCAAACAGGGAAACAGACCCCCCCTCCCCCTGCCCCCGTGGTCCCCTTTTGCTCTGAGCTCAACATCTCCAGCCCCCTGGCCAGGAAGACAGCTGAATCCCTCTGCCAAGGGATAAAATTTGAGACCTTTTTTCGTTTTTGTCATTCGATGCGTTGTAGGAACCCCTTCTATAATACAGATTTTCCTTCCTTCTCTCGGTCGTCTTGACAAATGCCAATCTGGAGACGGGGGCTGAGGACGGCCGAGGTTCAAAGGGTGCCAGTTCTGGGTTACGTTGTAGAAGGACCCGGATTCCAACCGACTATTGTGGAAGTTGACACTTCCTATACGACACTTTCTTTTTTTTAAAAAAAAAAGGAACATTAATGAAGAAATCCAGCCTTGGCCAAGAGGCTGGCGGGCTTGGCCAGTTCGCTATGAATTGTGAAGAGTGTCCAGTGCTGCCAAATGGAGGAGAAAGGAGAGTGCTTAGAAATTCAGGGCGATGGGTTACTTTGGGGCTAGATTTCTCATTTTCCTTCTCCCCCCCCCCCCAAGGTGGGAGAGAGAGGGAAAGAGCAGCTGGTTGGCTGTGATTAAATCTCAGCAAAAAAAAAAAAAAAAATGCTTCTAGGCCAAGAGTAAGGAAAGTGCACGGTTGGCCTCCTTCTTGACAGGCTTGCTTTCTACCTGCAGGGAAGTGGCTAGCAGGCATGAAAACCCAGCCAGGCTTGAGATGCCCCCTGCCCCTTCTGTCGTCCCGTGGGCTGGGGTCTTATTTTAAGATTGGGGGGTTTTTTTGCACACACCCCAACGGGCCATCGCATGAGATGCACCCTTCAGAAGAACATTGGCTGCTTCTTTCTGATCACCACATTTGGTCACCCTGTCTCCGTGCTTCCCCCACCTTCCTCTTCCTCTCTTGTTCCCCTCCCTCCCTCCCTTGTGATGATGACACCCCCCCCCCCAGCCTGCTTTCCACTTCCTGGGATTGCATTGCGCCAAAGACCAGATAATGGCAGACCTTCTCTCCCACTCCTCAATTTCTCCCTTCCTCCCCCCCCCTCCAGCTTTGTTCCTCCCACCTTCTCTGTGCATGAAGGGCCCCATCCTGAGCCAAGGGAGGATTGACAGAGAGAAAAAAATCTCTCGTAGTGGTACAAATCTTTTTTTTTTCCTCTCTCTTTTTGGGCTTGGAAGCAGGCGGTGCTTTTGATGGGGTCTGAACGGGGAGAACTAAAGCGTGCTGCTCTGACTGCTGTCAGTACAAAGTCGCTAGTCCTTATGGCATTCATCAGCCCGCCACCAAGGTGGAGCAGCTGTTATTTCAGGGGTCCAAGAATAAAGGTTGATGCCTATTTAGGCAGTCTTGAGTTCTACTTGTATCTCTGCTGGAGAGCAATAATTAATATTAGTGGAGGGAAAGGAAAGTGCATTGTTTCCTTGCAGCTCACTGAAGCCCTGGGTGACCAGTAGGAAGAAAATGGTGTCCTTCTAGGCAAACTGGATATAGTTTTGTCTAGTGGTTAAAGCACCAGGTTAGAAACCGGGAGACTGTGAGTTCCAGTCCCTTCTTAGGTTTGAAAGCTGGCTGGGTGACTTTGGGCCAATCACCAGGAGACGGTGAGTTCTAGTCCCGCCTTAGGCATGAAAACCAGCTGGGTGCCTTTGGGCCAATCACCAGGAGATTGGGAGTTCTAGTTCCATCTTAGTATGAAAGCCAGCTGGGTGCCTTTGGGCCAATCACCAGGGGGCTATGAGTTCTAGTCCCGCTTTAGGCATGAAAACCAGCTGGGTGACTTTGGACCAATCACCAGGAGATTGGGAGTTCTAGTTCCATCTTAGTATGAAAGCCAGCTGGGTGCCTTTGGGCCAATCACCAGGGGGCTATGAGTTCTAGTCCCGCTTTAGGCATGAAAACCAGCTGGGTGACTTTGGACCAATCACCAGGAGAGGATGAGTTATAGTTTCTCCTTCTAGGAGGAGTAAAGAGTATTAGGTATGCTTTACCACCTTGAGTTACTTATAAAAATAATAAAGGCAGGGTAGAAATTAAAACTTCAAAAAAAAAAATGGAAAATTACTCTGGAAACAAAACCTTTTTTTTTAAAGGTAAATCTGCCACGTGGCTCGGCTGAAACGCCCGTCCCACCCATCTGGCAAAATCTGAAGTGTGCCCGCCGTGGCTTTTCCACGCAGATGGGCATCCCCTACCCTCTTTGTTCCCTGCCACGACCAAATAAGCAGAAGCCGCGATGGGAAAAGGTCCATCCCTGATGCAGACGCCCCAGATATGTGGAGGGGGGCATAATTAAGTGGATTTTTTTAAAAGGGGAGAACGCTGATCCCTTCCCTGCTGTGACAAAGGGGTAGTTGGTCAGGAAACACCAAGGGATCCCCTTGTCCTGCATCTGCCCCACCTGTTTGGGTAACAGCGGCCTGCAAACACGTCGATTCCTGATCTTTGCGCCCCAATGTTCGAGAGAAATGGAGGTGGGGGGAGACTGTGCCCAGCTCCAGAAGGCGTTGCCCCTTCTCTAACCGCTCTACCTGCTTTCCTGCTCTTCTGATTCAGATCTTGGCAAGCCCAGCCCCTGTCTGAGTGTGGAGTGCCAGTTTGGGGCCACCTGCGTGGTGAAGAACCAGGAGGCCATCTGTGAATGCCAGCAAATGTGCCAGAGCATCTACGATCCGGTCTGCGGCAGCGACAACCTCACCTACAGCAACCCTTGCAAGCTGGAGGCCATGGCGTGCGCCCTCCGGAAGGAGATCCACGTGAAACACAAGGGGCCCTGCGGTGAGTGGGCACAGACTGCGCCCTGCTGCCTGCAGTAGAAAATGGAAATGGAAAAATAAGGTTCCGTTATCCTCGCGGGGGGGGCCCTCCGAAAGCAACACCCCTGCCTTCATTCTCACTTTGTCAGAAAGAGTTTCAGAAGGGAAACACAGCGGCCTTCCAAAACTCGGTTCAGGATTCAGATAGCTGCTCCTGCTGTGGGAAGCTCTGCCCTCCATGTGGGATCAAAGGGGCGACGAGTCTGCTCATTTCAGCCGGGGCAAAATTAGCAGACCCCTTGGGTGGGGTCTTCAGGATGGCAGAGCAAACAGGCCTGCCAAAGCCAGCCGCCGGCTCCAATCACCGCATCCCAAGTAGATGGTCTCTATTTTCAATGAAGTCCATGAAAAGTCAGATCAATAAATGTTTAAACCTCTCTCGGTTTTAATGTCCGGTACAGCAAATAGAGGCAGATAGGACCCACCTCAACCCCAACTTTTGGGGGGCCGTTTTTTCGAGAACCGCTGCAAGTCCACGATTGGCCAAGATGCAGTAGCTGTTAACACCAATTAACAACCCATTGTGGGTCAGGCCTCCAACACCAATTAACAACCCATTGTGGGTCAGGCCTCCGGTGCCGGGGGCTCGATTTGACTGTCAAATCTGGACCCCGTTTCAAATCCCCGCTCGTCCGGCAGCAACAGCCTGCCAGCTTAGCTCCAGGCTTTCTCCAGCACCGGAGTAAAACCTCTGCTTAAAAAATTATTATGAGAGATTAAACCGAGCCTCTGAGATCGAGGTCGCTGGTCCCGCAGGCTGTATTTCAACTGGAGATGGATGTGTAAGCAATTAGCCAGAATCCCCCGCTGTCTAAGGAGCTGAATCCGATGTAAGGGGGGGACCGGAGAGGTTATTGGGTCAGGGGATGGGGTGGGGTGGGGAGAGAATCCAGAGATAAGGACGATAGGTTTATTTCAGTTTCTTGTTCTTATGCCTGCTCAGAGGAGAATATGGGGATTACCCCAAAGAGGTGGGTTAATTTGGCATGCGGCACCGCTTCTCCCCTTCCTTGTGCCGAGCCCTCTTGAGGACTAGAAACCCGATGCTTCTCTTAGGGCGCTGGGGCTGATTTCTCCACGGCTTCCTCTGCATGTGTCCGTGTTGAAAGAAGGCAGGGTGGAGGGTTTTGATGGCTGCCTTGGGGAAGAAATTATGGGATGAGGCTCAAGAGGGTGGAAACACGCTTCTCTCCAGATTTGTCAAGTCAGACAATCTGGGACATCCAAACTGGGAATTTCCTCCCCAGCGAGACTTTTGAGTTTAAAAAAATAAAAATAAAACCCAAGCACGTATCTGCCGTAGGAGGGAAGTTAGCCATGCTTGCTTTTAGCAGGATGCCGAAGGGGTTTAAAAACTCTGCTAATGCTCGGCTGTGCTTTCAAATTGCTGGAATTTATTTTTTTAGTGTTTTTACTCTGATCATTTTATTGCGTTTCATACACTGTTGTTGTTTTTATGAATTGCCTCGGGACCCAGAATTGACAGATTGAACAGGAGAGAAATTCTTTTCTCTCTCCCGCCCTGTATGGTAATTTCTAAAATCTTCCTCAGTCTTTCTTTCTTTCTTTCTTTCTTTCTTTCTTTCTTTCTTTCTTTCTTTCTTTCTTTCTTTCTTTCTTTCTTTCTTTCTCTTTTTCTTCCTTCCTTCCTTCCTTCCTTCCTTCCTCTTCCTTCCTTTCTCTTCCTTCCTTTCTCTTCCTTCCTTCCTTCCTTCCTTTCTCTTCCTTCCTTCCTTTCCCTTCCTTCCTTCCTTCCTCTTTCTTTCTTTCTTTCTTTCTTTCTTTCTTTCTTTCTTTCTTTCTTCCTTCCTTCCTTCCTTCCTTCCTTCCTCTTTCTTTCTTTCTTTCTTTCTTTCCTTCTTTCCTTCTTTCCTTCTTCCTTTCTCTTTCTTTCTTTCTTCCTTCCTTCCCCACCCATCTCAAACAAAACACTCTGATCTCTTTCTCTCTGAAGAAAACAAACACTATTTAGGCAAACCACGTAAAAGAAGGATCGCTTAAAACTTGGGAATCCAAAGCCGCCTCCTTGTTAATTCCTGTCCTTTTCACCTCCACTTAAAGGCGGAAAAAATAAACGGGTGGACATTTGGGGACTCCCTTGCTTCAAAAAACAGTAGGTTAAAAAAAAAAGCAACTGCTCTGTGCCCTCTGCTCTCTTGATGTATGACAATGAAATGTGTTTCTCAGATTCTCCCAGTTGCTGACCATGGATTGGAACCCTTTTGGCTGCCGCAAAGGTCTCAAATAACTTTCAGCTTAAACTCCCCTTTTTTTCCCCGTTTTATCTCCTGGGGCCAGGGAGCGCCTGAGAAAAACCAATTTGGCTTGCCATGCACGGAAGCAGCTTGATTTTTGCCTGATGATGGGGATTTGGGGGGGGGAAAGTCAAATATTGGAGCAGCCTCCCGGCGCGGGCGGTTGAGTAGGGCGAACGTCCCCGGCGAGGCTTCCTTCTCCGTGTTGAACCATCTATCGGTTGAGGTAGAGAAGCAGCCTGTGGCCCAGAGCAAACATGCGCAGAGCGCCCCAGGATGGCGGAACGGAGCAGCAGCTGGCATCCCCCTGCCAGTGTTAGGCAGAAAATAAATTGGCTGGCATTGTGAAGCAGGCAGAGGAAGATGCCAAGGCGGGTCATGCCTCTCGCACAAAACCTCCCACGGGGAAGGTGCCAGAGGGTGTGCGTGCGTGTGTGTGTGTGTGTGTCTGAACTAAAGTCAGCATCAGAGACACCCTGGAAATAGGGTTGGTTTTCGGGATGTAAGAAAGCCAGAAGTATCTTGCACGTGGGAAAGGGACTCTGTGGCTGCACACACCCCATGTTAGCGCCCACATCTTTGCCTCCTCCCCATTGGAGGGGGGAGAGACCACCTTCTGCCCCCCACCCCACCCCGCCCTGAGCTGTCCTCCAACACGCACAACAGCAACTAATAGGAAAAGCTCTTTTCTGTCTTTGAGCCCTTCCTAGCAGACTCTCTTCTTCTTCTTCTTCTTCTTCTTCTTCTTCTTCTTCTTCTTCTTCTTCTTCTTCTTCTTCTTCTTCTTCTTCTTCTTCTTCTTCTTCTTCTTCCTTCTTCTTCTTCTTCTTCTTCTTCTTCTTCTTCTTCTTCTTCTTCTTCTTCTTCTTCTTCTTCTTCTTCTTCTTCTTCTTCTTCTTCTTCCTCCTCCCTTTGTCCTCTTCCTCTTCTTTTTCTCCTCCTCCTCCTCTTCTTCTTCTTTTTCTTCCTCTTCCTCCCTTTCTCCTCCTCTTCCTCTTCTTTTTCTTCTCCTCTTCCTCTTCTTCTTCTTCTTCTTCTTCTTCTTCTTCTTCTTCTTCTTCTTCTTCTTCTTCTTCCTCCCTTTGTCCTCTTCCTCTTCTTTTTCTCCTCCTCCTCTTCCTCTTCTTCTTCTTCTTTTTCTCCTCCTCCTCCTCCTCCTCCTCCTCCTCCTCCTCACACCACTCACCCTTGTTTCCCCCCCCCCCCGGTGCTCTTCTCACCCAGGAGACTGAGCCGACTGCTGGCTCTACCTGTCGTCCACACCTTGAAACCGAGGGGCATCAGTTGCCCAGAATTTCAAGCCATCGCTTCTATTCATTTGTATCCCACTTTTATTATTATTATTATTTTTTACAAAAAAAAAAACTCAACGCAGCACACATACCCAGCGCAGCTTCCTCCTCTTATTTTTCCCCACAACAACACTAACAACCCTGTGAGGCGGGTTGGGCTGAGGGAGAGGGACTGGCCCAAAGTCACCCAGCTGGTTTTCAAAGCAGGATTAGAACTCAGGGTCTCCCAGTTTTAAGTCCGGTGCCTTCACCGATAGGACAAACTGCCTCTCCGGGATCTTCCTGTTACTCCCACATGCCTCTCCTTGCTCTGTTATTCCCAAACGAGACCCCCGAAATCCAGGCTGAGAGGGTGCACTCCAAGGCCCATCATCCCTCTCCTTGGTGAGGGCATCCTGCAGCCCTGTGGCTATCCATGAAATCAGCCCATCCTAAGGGGAAAACGCCCGCCTCAACCTCCTTTGGGGAAAAAAGAGAGTTTAAAAGGATTTTGCTAAAATGCTCATTTTCCCCAGATGTCTCCCCTTCCTTTCCAGACCGCTGTCGGAAGTGCCAGTTTGGTGCCATCTGCGAGGCCGAGACGGGCCAGTGCGTGTGTCCCACCGAGTGTGTCGCCTCCTCTCAGCTGGTGTGCGGAACCGACGGGAACACCTACGGGAGCGAGTGCGAACTCCACGTCCAGTCCTGCATCCAGCAGGTCTCCATCGAGGTGGCAGCCCAAGGCAGCTGCAGTAAGTCTGTATCTTTCCCCTCCCCCCCTCTGGGAGGGGGTCCTTCCAGATCTAGGCTGCCTTTGCCCAGCACCCCTCTCCTTGGCGTACCGCTTGGCACCTGCGCTGCCCCTCTCCTTGAAGCCGCTTCCCCGCCAAACCAGCCGCTTAAAAGCTAAAGTAACTGTGTTGTGTGTGGGATCCTTGGTGCTCGCTGATCTTGGGGGTTTTCTTGCAGGCGTCTCGTTGCCCAACGAGGTAACCTCATCAGGGCAGGCCATGTTAGTGTACATTAGCACACTCTTGTAATGTAACTGATGTGGTTACCTAGTTGGGTAATGAAACGTCTGCAAGAAAACCACCAAGCTCAGAGAGCACCAAGGACCCCACAGTTGTCCATCTTCTTCTCCTCCTCCTCTTCCTCCCCTTTCCAAACCCCACTCCCTTCTAGCACTGATGAGGTTACCTAGCTGGGTCATGAAACGTCTGCAAGAAAGCCACCCAGCTCAGAGAGCACCAAGGACCCCATAATCCTCCTCCTCCTCCTCCACTCTGCAAACCCCACTCCCTTCTAGCATTGATGATGTTACCTAGTTGGGTCATGAAACGTCTGCAAGAAAGCCACCCAGCTCAGAGAGCACCAAGGACCCCATAATCCTCCTCCTCCACTCTGCAAACCCCACTCCCTTCTAGCATTGATGATGTTACCTAGTTGGGTCATGAAACGTCTGCAAGGAGACCACCCAGCTCAGATAGCACCAAAGACCCCATAGTTCAACCCTGGGTTACAAATACTCTCCTGAAATCCAATAATAATAATAATAATAATAATGTTGAAAGGGACCTTGGAGGTCATCAAGTCCAACCCCCTGCTCAGGCAGGAAACCCTATACCATTTCAGACAAATGGCTGTCCAGTCTTTTCTTAAAAACTCCCAGTGTTGGAGCATTCACTGCTTCTGGAGGCAGGTGGTTCCACTGGCTAATTGTTCTCACGGTCAGGAAGTTTCTCCTTAGTTCCAGGTTGCTTCTCTCCTTGGTGAGTTTCCTTCATGGGCTTCTCTTCCTCCTCTCTCTCTCTCTCCCTCTCTCTGCAGAAGCCTGTGGGGCCACAGTCTGCTCCTTTGGGGCACAGTGTGTGGACGGGCAGTGCCTCTGCCCCCGTTGCGAGCAGCAGCCCTTGTCCCGCGTCTGTGGCAGCAACGGCCTCACTTACGACAACGCCTGCGAGCTGCGCCTGGCGGCTTGCCAGCAGAAGGAGGAACTGGAGGTGGTGAGGAGGGGTCCGTGCGAAGATGGTGAGTCTTCCGTGCTCAGCTGGGATCCTCGACTTAGATCCATTCGTTTAGGGACCTTCCTTCCTTCCTTCCCTCCTTCCTTCCTTCCTTCCCTCCTTCCCTCCCTCCCATTGTCTCTTGAGCTGCCAATAATGAAAGGCGATGGGCAGTAATAGGGCTCCACCAGGAGTGGTTTCACTGCTTTAATTTCACACTTCAGAGCATTGAGGGAGGTGAGAGAAAGGGAAGCTTGCAAGGCTCTCTTTCTTTGTTTCCTTCTCTCTCTCTCTCTCTCTCTCTCTCTCTCTCCCTCCCTTCTTCCTTTCTTCTTTCCTTCTCTCCTTATTTCCTCCCTTCTCTCTCTTCCTCCTTTCATCTTTTTTCTCTTCTTCCTTTCTCTTCTGTCTCTTCCTTCTTCCTTTCCTCTCTCTTCCCTTCCCCCTCCCTCCTTTCCTTCCTTCCTTCCCTCTCTTCCTCCTTTCTTCCTTCTTTCCTTCTCTCCTTCTTTCCCTCCGTCTCTTCTTCCTTTTTTCTTCTCCTTCCTTCCTCTTCTCTCCCTCCCGCTTTTTGTCTTTCTCCCCTTCCCTTCCCTCCCTCCTTTCGTCCTTTCCTCCTCCCTCCATCCACATACCTCCCTCTCTCTCTTTCCTTCCTTTCCTTCTCTCCTTATTTCCTCCCTCTCCCTTTCCTCTCTCTTCCCTTCCCCTCCCTCCTTCTTTCCTTCCTTCCTTTCCTTCCTTCCTTTCCTCTCTTCCTCCTTTCTTCCTTCTTTCCTTCCTTCTCTCTCTTCTTCCTTCTTTCTTCTCTCCTTCCTGCCTCTTCTCTCCCTGCCTCTTTTTGTCTTTCTCCCCTTCCCTCCTACCTTTCCTCCCTCCCTCCATTTCCTTCCTTCTCCCTCCCACATGGGTTAATACCCGGATGAAACCACCAGTAAAATCCCAGAGATGTTGCTTGAACAACAGGCCAGGCCAGAAAAAGGCCATGGTTCCTCCCCCAGGGTCACCCAGAAAGCCACCCAGGAGAGATCACGCTGAGATAGAAAGAGGAAAAAAGGCCATTTCCTCAACAGAAGGGTTTCTCTCTAGCCTCAAGATTCTGTACAATTTCACGGTTTGTGTGGGTGCATCCACTGAGATGCATCTCTGCAGCTGCCAGGAATCAGACCCCAGTCAGAGAGCCCCGCCCCCCCCAAATGTCGATAATCAGGTCTAGAAACTTGACTTTGTTTTGAGCCTGAAGTGGGCCGTTCTTCTCTCACGCAGAGTGCGGCTCAGGAGGTGGGTCTGGCTCCGGAGATGCCGTTGAATGTGAGCGAGACAGCTGCCGGAAGTACGGGGGCTCGTGGGACGAGGATATGGAAGACGACCGTTGCGTTTGTGACTACACCTGTGGGACCGTCCCGCAGAACTTGGTAAGGGGAGATTTCTGTAGGAGCGGCCGCATCATTTAGATAATTTGATTTTCTGCACAGAGCAAGGGGCTGGCTTGCACCAGAGCAGTTCAAGTGGGCAACTTTAAGACCCTTTACTTCAACCCCCAGAATTCCCCCAGGCGGCAGGACTGGCTGGGGAATTCTGGGGGTTGAAGTCCAGCCGTTTTAAGGTTGGTCTTGATGCTTCTGATCTTCTGTGGCAGGCTTTTGCAGGGAAGGCTATAAACTTGGGAAGGCTGAGTCAAATTCTCTGTTGTGTCTTTAATGCTTCTCCGCCCTCTGGGGTTGTGTTTCTTTTTTTTTTCCCTGTTTCTCATTAATTTCCCTGGCATGCATTTGCATATTTTATGGACGGGGAAAGTGGATAGCACAGGAACTCCTTGCGTGTCTGACATCCTGGATGCCAGCAGATGTGTTCTCCGAACCGGGGAGATTAGAATGACGGTTTCTTCTTTTTTTCCCTCTTGTGATGCCAAGAGATCACACAGGCAGAATTCTCTAGGAACCCATCCAACCTGCTTACTTGCTTACTTACCAGGCTTAGCCTAATCTGCACCTCGAATCGGCGAGAATAATTTTTCTCCCTAAAAGAGCCTTGAAGGCGCCCGCTTGGGTGGCTCCCAACCTCTTAAGTACGTAAAACGGTACAGTCCAGATGCTCCCTTGGGGTAGAACTGCACAAGAGCTACACCGAAGGCTGAAAGCTCGGCTGCTGGTCCTGAGGGTTTACACTGAGACTCCTAACCATGAGTAGGCCTGCTCCCAAACGAGGCACTTGACCCTCAAAGGCTCTGTGTCACAACTGCCATCCTGAGCTTCAGCCTTGCTTTGCTACAGGTCAGCCTGCTATGGGGGGGGAGCTGCTGGGAAGAGGGAAAGTAGTAATAATAATAATAATAATAATAATAATAATAATAATAATAATAATAATAATAATAATAATGTTGGAAGAGACCTTGGAGGTCATCTAGTCCAACCCCCTGTTCAAGCAGGAGACCGTAGACTATTTTGAACAAAGCGTTGTCCAATCTCTTCTTAAAAACTTCCAGTGTTGGCGCATTCACTGCTTCTGGCGGCAAGTGGTTCCACTGGTTAATTGTTCTCACTGTCAGGAAGTTTCTCCTTAGTTCTAGGTTGCTTCTCTCCTTGGTTAGAATAGAATAGTGGAGTGGAGTGGAGTGGAGTAGAGTAGAGTAGAGTAGAGTAGAGTAGAGTAGAGTAGAGTAGAGTAGAGTAGAGTAGAGTAGGAATAGAGCTGGAAGGGACCTTGGAGGTCATTTAGTCCAACCCCCTGCTCAGGCAGGAAACCCTACACCATTTCAGACAAATGGCTGTCCAGTCTCTTCTTAAAAACTTCCAGTGTTGGAGCATTCACAACTTCTGGAGGCAGGTTGTTCCACTGGTTAATTGTTCTAACTGTCAGGAAGTTTCTCCTTAGTTTTAGGTTATTATAATAATAATTATTATTATTATCATCATCATCATCCTGGTTGCCTCATCTTATATCCTGTTACAGTCCTTATTCAGATTTGTTTCTCCCGTAAAGCTCAAAGTATTCTTGCTGGTGAAGATTTTCTGAACAGTTAATGACGTTTAAAGATTGAAATCCATTTTTCCCATATAAACCGCCTCAACACTTTTACATTCCTTAAAGAATAGGTAAAAAAAAAACAGTAAAGAAAAGCAAGAGTAAAGACTTCTGACTTTAATTTACCCCAGTGTACTTGACTTCTAATAAGGCTAAACAAATGGAGCCCGTTTCTACTTGGGGGTCCAAGCTGAGGCAGCTCCGACGTCCCGATTCTTTTTGTAACAAGACCCTCTGCTTTTCCCCCAACGTAGGTGTGCGGCTCAGACGGGGCAGCTTACGCTAACGAGTGTGAACTGAAAAAATCCCGCTGCGAGAAACGGCAGGACATTTACGTGGCAAGCCAGGGACCCTGCCGAGGTAATTTCAGCACCCGGGCTGGTGGAAACCAAAGAGTTTGGAGTGGTCTTTCATGACATCCTACATCCCTAAGCCGGCATTCCTGCCAGTGCGGTAGGGTCTGCTTCTCAGCCCGGCCTTTCTCGAAGGAAAGAAATCAACCCAGACTATTCTTTGGGAGGATTAGATCCTGAAGCCGAAGCTCAGATACTTTGGCCGCCAGATGAGAAGAGAAGATCCTGATTTTTGGGGGAAAGATGGAAAGCAAAAGGAGATGGTTAGATGGGGTCCATGAATATGAGATTGGGCGGATTCAGAAAGATAGTTGAAGACCAGGGGTGGGGCGCTGGCGTGCTGTGGTCCGTGGGGTTGTGAAGAGTTGGAAACAGCAACCGAACAACAACACTAGCTACTTGCTGGTGGCATCCTCATTAAAACAAGATTTTTAATTTTCCTTCCAGGGGTCCCCACTCTTCCGCCTTCTTCGCCAGAGCTCCTTCACTGTAGCAGAACGGTTTATGGCTGCTGCCCAGACAACGTGACGTTGGCACTCGGAGTGGGATCGGCTGGATGCCCCAGTAAGTAGATGCCATTCTTTGGGGCCTGGAAACAAGGCTTTTCACGTTGAGCTCAGGGTGGAGGGCGGGGGGGGGGGGCCTTCCCTGGCACTCTTCAGAGCCCGGGAGAGAGCACGCTCCTCTACCCCAATCTGTTCTGCCTTTCCCCTGGCCTCCCCCACCGCCCTCCAGCCCACCCATGCAGACTTTATTAAATTTTTATGGAATAATTAGCCGGAGCCATCTTGTTCGCCTAACGAGACGAGGAAAGAGTTGGTGGCATTTTAAGCAGCTGAGGCCGAGGGCCAGCTGGTTGGCGGGCATCCATTAGAGCGGCCGGCGGGAATGCAGCGGCCTTGTTTGCGGTTCGGTAGAGGCATTTCGTGCACCAGGTCATTTATGTAGCGGCGGGCGCCTTCCAAAAGCGATTTTAATGGCTCCAGAGTTGTTGACCCAGAGAGCAGCAGAAATCCACAGAAATGGCAGATTCTCCTCCTGGGGTCGCCTTGATAATTGATGCCGTGAAGTCGCTCAGAAGCTCAGCTGGAAATCATAATCTCACGTCTGCCTGGGAGCAGCCTGAAGACCCTAACCCAGTGGTTCTCAACCTTTTTAATGCCGCGACCCCCAACCAGTCGTAAGTCGAGGACTACTCAACTGGTCGTAAGTTGAGGACTACTCAACTGGTGCAGCACTGTTTGCAGAATGGGACATCTTCAAGGAAAAAACAAAGGAAGCCCACTTGCCTTTGGGTCAGACCAGTAGACCTTCAAGTTCCCTTCCAGCCCTAGGATTCTGTGTCCTACGTCACTCTCCTTTGAAGACGCGTCTCTGCTTCGGTTACGAAGCCTGTCCAGGGGGCCGGGGGCTCTTCTACCAAGCTGAGGTTGAGAACTAACCCTTTCCCTTCCTCTTGTCCCCTAGGCACTTGCCACTGCAACCCCTACGGCTCCTACGGAGGGAGCTGTGATCCCAGCATGGGCCAATGCTCCTGCAAACCTGGCGTGGGGGGGCTGAAATGTGACCGCTGTGAACCCGGTTTCTGGAACTTCCGCGGCATCGTCACGGACCGCAAGAGCGGCTGTACCCGTGAGTACCTCTGGTTGCCGCCCGGGTAGAAAAAGGTTGGAAACAGGTGGGTGGGTTAGAACTTGTTTTCCTCTCCCCCAGTCGGTGTAGGAGAAAAGCAGGCAAGAGTGGGAGGTGGTGGAGTAGTTAGGCGAGTCATCAGCCTCGAATCTTTAGGTTGTCACCAACGTCTAAGTCCAACTTCTCTTGAATGCCATTGATTCTTGAGGACTTGAGCAATGAATCTTCTTATCTGCAACTTCACGTCCAGTCCTGATTCTTCACACCTGATATTTCAATCCCCAATTCTCCTGACGTCTTGTAAGCTTGGAAGGGGGGGCAGGGTTTTGAAGACTCCCCCCCCCCCCAGAAAAAGAGCAAACCTCTTTTTGAAGCCATCCACAAAGGTGACTCTAGCTATCCTGAAAGACTTTGGTCAGGATTCTTAGCAAGATGACCTCCATGTTCCTAGCCAGGAAGAAACTAGCAGAATACACAAGCCAGGAAATCTAGCTAGTTCAATGGAGATTGTGTTGCCCCGAGACACACCAACACACACACATACCAAGTATTCAGAGCTGTCGTATTATTCAAGCATGCAGTGGGGAAAGTCTCTTGGCTGAGTTCCCGCCATTCAAGTCCCTCGGGCATTTATTTAGAATATCGAATTGATTCCCGTTAAATTTCCCCCGTTTACAAATTTGCTACCAAAAATGGCAGACTCTTCTGTTACTTCACACAGGTGGTCCCCGACTTACCATCACAATTGAGCCCCCAAAGTTCTCTTGCTAAGCAAGGCAGCTGTTAAGTCAACCTTGCCCCTCCTTTTATGACCTTGCTCGCCAGAGTTGTTAAGCGAATCGCTTGCAGTTGTTGTCCCCTGGATGTTAAGTGAATCGGGCTCCCCCGTCAACTTGGTTTGCCGGAATGTGATCACGTGACCCCTTTGGACACCGCAGCCATCATAAATACGAGACAGTAGCCAAGCAACTGAATTTTGATCACTTGACCCTCGGGATGGGGTGTTGCGACAGCCGTCGGCGTGAAAAACTTACATCGCTTTTTTTTCAGTGCTGTTGAAACTTCAAATGGTCACGAAATGAACTGTATATTTATTGCAGTGGTGTGAGAGGTCTGAGTGTCTGGATCTAGAAGTTTTTAAGAAGAGACTGGACAGCCCTTTGTCTGAAATGGTATAGGGTTTCCTGCCTGAGCAGGGGGTCGGACTAGATGACCTCCAAGGTCCCTTCCAGCCCTGTTATTCTGTATTCCCTCCCTCCCTTCTTTCCTTCCTTCCTTCCTTCCTTTTAAAATCAGAATTCTACTTTTTAAAAAAATTCGCAGTATTAATTAAAATGACTACAAAGACACGATAGCAATGTTCCAATAATAGCAAAGATTGCAGTGACAGGATAGCAGTCTTCCAATATTTAAGGGGCTGCCACAAAGAAGAAGGGGGTCAGGCTATTCTCCAAAGCACCATCATCATCATCATCATTATAGACACTCTCAACTTGATGGATTTGGACTACATTCCCCCCCCCCTTCTGAACAAAGTTTTGGGGGTGGAGCTGGGTTCAAGAGAGTTAGTGCAAGCCCCCATTTAGGGAAAGCCTTCAGAATCTCAGCTGAGATAGTAAGCTTTGATTTCTTGATGCCTTCCTTGGGCTAACAGCAGAACGAATTCGGCTTCATTTTCTCATTGTCTCTGCCTTACCTGTGGGGCAGAGAGCGCGGATGGAAGTGCGATGCGAAAATTAGTTCTCACCTTCCCTCCTCCAGTCGCTCCGTCTCCGGAGAGCGGGAGGTCGGATTGCACCCAGCACCTGCGAAAGAAGTCATTACGAAAACAGAGGATAACCCTTTCAAGAGATCAGATTGGGGTTGAGTAGCCGTGCGCGCGTTTTTAATTGAAAGCCGCAGCTTTAAGTCAGGTTTATAAAAATGCAGGGCAGTCTCACCGACTCTTTCCTGAAATAAAGTTGCGTCGGCCGAAATCCGATCGGGTTCCGCTACTGGGAGGGTGTTTTGACTCCAGATGTTGGAGGGAAATGCCCTGATGCCTTTCCAGGTGTTAAGCTACCATCTCGTTTCTTTTTCTCGGTGTTGGGAAGAAGACCTCCAAGGGGAATCCAGCAAAGTGTTGTCCAGATGTTAGCAGTCTAACTGGACTTTACTGTGCTCTTTGCCAGATGTTAGCAGGAGTCCGCGTGAGAAGGGAGTTCTTAAATTCCCTCCAGATGTTAGCCGAAGCTCTGAATGTAAGCCTGTTTGGCAGTTTCCTACTACAAGAAGCATCCTTTTTTCATCCTGGCATGAACAAGGGCTCATCTTAAAGTTGCCGAGAGGATCTTTGATTTGCCTTTAGGATTCCAAGCATTGTGTCTTTATTCTCACCGGCTCAGGGTCAACTCAGCCTTCCGTCCACTCTCTGGCTTAGCAAAAGAAATTTTGGGCCCAGTTGGGATCGTTAAGTCGAGAAATGCCTGTACAGAATTTGTCTCGTTTAGCACAGTGCTTATTCCACATGTCTGTGTGTGATAAAAAAAAAATATCTACCAGAACCTGGAAACGTGAAGAGGGGAACAGGATTTATAGATCGAGATTTCCTTAATCCAGAGAAAGGAAAATACGCAAATTCTTTTAAGGATTGTGAAGGCTTGTCTCTGATTTTTTAATTTATTTTAAATCAGTGAAGTCAGAGCCACCAGCACAGCTTGCTCACTGCACCTGGCTCGTGTTTTTGATGCGCTAAAAACGGTGTACAGGAATTCTTCAAACCAAGAGCGAGTCCCATCGTGACTGACATTTTTCTCCTTCCCAGCCACACTTCCTTTCTCTTTATCTTCTTATTTTGCTCTTCTTTTTTTAAAAAAAAAATCTGGCACTTCATATGATACTGCCTCCATCTCAATCAGCGGAACAGCTTCCCTCCCCTGAATTGCTCCATCGCTGAAGGCTTTCAAGGAAAGATTGGACAACCATTGGAATAAGGGCAGGGGGGTTGGACTAGAAGACCTCTGAGGCCTCATCGCAGCCCTATGATTCTTTGGGGGAAATAGGAACCAAATTACAGCTCAGCAAGCAAGGGAGCTGATCAGATTTATGTCGGCTGCTCCAGATTTGTATTGACAAGCTATTCCTTCAGCAAACAAGAAAGTGAAGGGTGAGGGGGGGGGCAGAGGGAGGAAGGGAGGGGGGGGAGCCTGTCTTAATTTCAAGGTCCATTGGCGATCAAAGCAGAGGAATCAATAAAATGGCAAATGGGGAAAAAAGGGGGTGGGAGGATGGAGGGGGAAAAAAAAAGAGGGTTATTTGGAAGCGACTACAAACAGCCGAGAAGAGGCGAATGCGTGCGGGCGTGTGTGAGCATCCGCACGAAACACGGCAAGTGCGGAAAATGATCCCAGGCACATCTCTGCTCTCTCTGGAGGGTCGGAGTAGTCAGTCCTGAAATGGAGACTGCTGGAGGTTGCCAGGCTCCCTCACCATTAGAAGGAGTAGAAAGGGGGGGGGTGAAAAAAAAATGTGAGTGAAGCACCAGGTGGGAAATTAAACCACGGGCTCGCAGTTTGGGTGGCTGGGAGCCGGCATTGCTCCTTGGTACTTATCAAATGTATCTTTGGGTGTGCGTGCGAGACACACACACACACACACACACACACCAGCCTGTGCACACACAAGACAGGGAGGTAATTAGATGCCAGAGAAGCGACTGGAGGATTTTGCACTGGGCTGTCTTAATCGCATCATTGGCTGAGACGGGAGCAAGGCCAAGATACTCCCTGTCGTAAAGAGAGTTATTGGTGAACTGCTGGGAACGATGGGTGGGGGTGTTCTCCGCTAGCTAACTTTTTCTTCTCTGGTCTCATCTCTTCTGCATTTGGGGTGTGGCCTGGCAGCCGGATTCGAGAAAAATGACAAAAAGACAAATGGCACAGTCTTAATTTTTTTTTTAATCTTTTCCGCGTTCCAAAGAGCAGTTGCCAAAGGTGCATTCTATCAAGGTGTAGCCTTTTTTTTCCTTGCTCCTAATTCCTTCTAGTAGAGAAGGCACCCTTCCACCTTTCTTTGTGCCCCCACATGGTCTTATTGTCCTGTTTACACAGAGGGGGGGGGTCCCAAATCCCTACTTTGGTTCGCCATATCAGAGCCGTGAAGTCATCCGGGCCCAGTTCTGCTTGAGTTCCGTCTGGCTTTAGCGGCTTAGCCCAGCAGCCTGCTTTAAATGCAGGAAGGTGTTATGTTCAGTCTCCAGCTAGCGAAGGAACAGACAGACAGTAATAGAAAAGTCAGCTTTAATTTCGTAGATTTATGATCTGCTTTTCAGAAGGAAAACCCGTAATCAAAACAGGGGCATTTAAAACACAAATACTGAAGCCGGTAAGTAACCGAGATAAGCTAGTGGTAGGGTCAACAAAAATAGCCCGGCTCTCTAAAACGGACTCTGTGTGGGCCAGTTTCTCCTAACGTTCTCCCCAGGGAATGTCCGGGGAAAGGGGGCCCTAGAGACCCCTGGGGAAGGGGTCTTTTTCCAAGGATATGGGGCCATGATGGAACAGGCCCTGTCTGAAGGAGGAGAGAGATGGGGGCTTTGGAAAAGCTGATCGGCATAGATCAGGGGTCCTCAGCCTTGGCACCTTTAAGACTTGTGGACTTCAACTCCCAGAATTCCTCAGCCAGCTTTGCATTCTTGCAGATCAGTCTTATCCAGCCCGGTCCTTTCAGATGTGTGTCTTTCAGCTTCAAGCGTCTCCCAGATTTCAGCGTGGGAGGTCAACTCCCAGAATTCCCCAGCCTACCTGCACAGCCCTGAGAATTCTGGGAGTTTGGCACCCATCTCTCTGAAAGATGCTCTGAAGGGGGGGAAGGAATTCTTAACACCCCCCGGTTTCTTCCCAAACCCTCCTTTGCTTTCCCGGACAGCCTGCCACTGCGACCCGGTGGGATCCGTGCGGGATGACTGCGAACAGATGACCGGCTTGTGTTCGTGTAAAACCGGGATCACCGGCACCAAATGCAAGCAGTGTCCCAGCGGAAGCAAGCTGGGAATGTCCGGTTGTGAGAAAGGTAAAGTAGCTTTCGTATGCAACAGCTCTGGAGGGGTTGAAGGTTTACACGTCTCTGCCGGAGAACCAAAGGAAGATTTATTCCTGGGGAGGACTAAGTTGGAAACTTAGGATCTGCTTAACGTTGGCACTGAGTGGCATGCGTGATCCCCAGATCTCTCGGCCCCCTCGTCCTGCGCTGAAATGACCTGTGAATTCGGGGCGTCGTGTGTGGAAGTGAGCGGCCTGGCCCAGTGTGAGTGTCCATCGTTGCTTTGCACGGAAGCTGACACATCCAAGGTGAGCAGAGAGAGCAACGGTGAAGATGGGTGGTCAGACTCAACAGCATCTCCCGCTAGATCAGGTCCAGTTGAATTCCAGAACTTAAGAGGTGGGAATTCCCACCCCACCCCCAGGGCACTGATTTGTCCTAATAGCATGGGAGGTCTCTTCTGCCCACCCTGCAAGGTAGTCCAGACAAGGAGCAGGGTTTTCTCCCAGAATTCCCCAGGTTTGATCGTCACCTCCTCCCTGCCTGGCTAACCACCATTTCTTCTTCTCTCCCTGCCTCTTGCCCCTCCCAACGCCCCACCTTCTAGGTCTGTGGCTCTGATGGAGTGACCTACGGGGACCAGTGTCAGCTGAGGACCATTGCTTGCCGGCAAGGGAAGGTCATAGAGGTGAAGCATTTGGGCCAGTGTGCAGGTGAGTCTCCATTTGCACACCTGAGTGCTAACAGGGTTCCTTAGACCAAGCAGTTGCACAGAAATTGACAGCTGTCCCACTTCTTTTAACATTGGGGGGGTGGGGGGTGCTCTCTGAGCTGGGTTGTTTTCTTGCAGATGTTTCATGACCCAACATCATCAGTGCTAGAAGAGAGTAGGCTTTATTGGACCCCATTCCTTCTAGCACTGACGATGTTCCCTAGTTGGGTAATGAAATGTCTGCAAGAAAACCACCTACCTCAGAGAGCACCAAGGATCCCACAGTCCTCCTCCACTCTGTAAACCCCACTCCCTTCTAGCACTGATGATGTCCCCTAGTTGGGTAATGAAACGTCTGCAGGAAAACCGCCATGCTCCGGGAGCACCAAAGACCCACGCAGTTTAACCACGGAGCTACAAATAATCTTATCTTTTAACAATGGTTGAAATGCCCAAATTAGCCATTTCAGAAATCCAGCTGGTTGGTTTTGAACTGGCCCACTTCACTAACCCGCTGGGACAAAAATTGCTGCTGTGTGAAAAAAGATCCTGAGCTTTCAAACTCTTGAGTTTGTGAGAGTGGGTTAAATGCACGGTCAGGCGAGAAGAGAGCAAGGTTTGGACGTGTATGTGGTGAGTTGTTGGTCTAGGACAGGGGTAGTCACCCTTGGCTCTTTTGTGACTCGTGGGCTTCAACTCCCAGAATTCCTGAGCCAGCCATGCGGAGGGGAAAGGGAGAGGTTTCCAAGCTGAGCCATGCTGGCTCAGGAATTCTGGGAGTTGAAGTCCACAAATCATAAAAGAGCCAAGGTTGCCTACCCCTGGTCTAAGATTCACTTTGTGATCTTATAATTGTGGGAAATCACGTATCAGACGTGTTCTGAATCTCGTTTTCCGAGCCCTGTTTCTTGATGAGGCGTTATTGATTTTGGCATGTGATATATGCAAGGCAATCTGAAATATTTGCCGGAGCTCAAATTAAACCGGCAGAGAAAGACCCAGGGGTAAAGTCCACACTTTCAAAGAAGCTTTGGAAACGCTTTATTTTGCATCCCTTCTCATTGGCTGGATGAAACCCCTCTACCAATAGGGACAAGGCAACAGTTCATTGTACAAGCCCTTTCCTTCTTTGTTTTTCTCCCCCCCCCCCCAAGAAAACCGTACGAGAGTTGCATCTTCGTACTGGTGAACTACCCAGTCTCTTTGGTTTAACTTTGGGAGAATAACAAGATAAAACTGATTTGGAGAATTTTAGCATCCTCCATTTTTTTAAGATGCTTGCAGACAGATCGATCAGAAATCTGGGAACGTAAGCAAGCACCATAGTTCTATGATGAGAGTGGTTTTATTCATTGTACGTGGAAGGTTTCTGTAGAACGTGGCGCTACTAATTTCTAGGGATCCGTGGTTGGGTAGATCCAAAGCAGCTTTGCAGATTCCTCATGGGGTCCCCTAATCGCATACAGGCAGTCCTTGGCTTACAACCATGCATTTAGCGACCGTTCAAAGTCAGGGGTCCAAGTGTGACAATATTTGGGTCTCGAGCAGAAACGCTGGATTGATTTATTCCAGAGTCCACTTGTGCTCTCCCCAAATTCTGTCATCTTGGCACCTTCCACCACAGTCCCTTTTGTCTTGCTTTCTTCCAGAATCCCATGCCAGCCACCCCACCCCGCCTGCGACCCAGCGCCCCTTGGACTCTGTTCCCCCTCTGGCCCCCCAAATCACCACCTCGGCTCCCGAGCTGACCAGGATTCCCTCCTCCTCCCCCTGGCATTCAGAAGACCACGCTTCCCGGCAGAGCCAGCCGGTCACCCGAAGGATAACCAAGCCCGCCGTCCTCTCCACCCTTCCGTGGACAACTCAGGGCATCCGCCAGACCACCGCCCGGCCCCTCTTGACAGCCCCCGTGGTTCCTGCCGCCACTCAGACGGCTTACGTTGAATCGGGCAGCGCAGAAGGCAGCGGAGATCCAGAACTGGGCACCAGTGGAGATCAGGAAGGCAGTGGGGCCAGCTCTGCAGGTATGTCACACACCTGTTGTGTGTGTGTCTGTGTCCTCCAGGTCCTGGTTGTCCCAAAGGGGCTTTTTCAAGAGTCAGTTGGACTTGCTCTGTCTTCGAAGACGTTTCGCTTCTCATCCAACGAAGCTTCTTCAGCTCTGGCTGGCTCAGGAATTCTGGGAATTGAAGTCCACGAATCATAAAAGAGCCAAGGCTGCCCACCCCTGGTACAGGGTCTCCTGCTTGAGCAGGATTTTAGATCAGAAGACCCTTCCAAGTCTGTTGTTCTGAATGATTGGCAAGCAGTCTTTGAGAATTGATAGATTCTAACCTCCTTTTGGAAAAAGCTAAGCCTCTAGTCCCTATGGCCGCTGTAGGAAAAAAGGGCAGGGGGGTTTTTTTCCCACCCCATCATCAATTGGGGGCATTTTGTCCTCCCTTATGATAGTAGCTGACAAATGGCGGGAGATCGAGCAGTGATTTTAAAGCCGAGATGATAAAAAAGACCCAAGACCTCCCTGGTCTTCACACCAGCGTTGTAATTGTGGTCTTCTTCCTGTGGCTGAACAGGGGAGGAAGAAACTGAAGACCCCAAGGTGACAGGTCCCCACCTGATCGAGAGAGCCACCTGTTACAACACCCCTCTGGGATGCTGCTCGGACGGCAAGACCCCAGCCGCTGACGCCGAAGGAAGCAACTGCCCAGGTAAACCACTTCCTTTCTTTTGCGGACGCTGAGCTTCAGCCAGGAACAACATTCTCAATAAAAGCATCCTCAGGAAAGAAGCCAAGCCGTGCCCCTCTGATGGTGAAGATGAAATTTTGGGGTCTATCCTTCTATTTCTTTGCCCAGCTGCAATTCTCAGGGTCTCAGCCACCCCGTCGCATTTCGAATGCGTTTCTACGGGACGACCGAGCTGATCGGGCCGTGATTTTCGGATCGACGTGTTGCTGATTTCTTTGTTAGATTTAGGCCTGACCTTTTCTCCAGGAGCTTTAAGAGAGAGACCAGAGCGTGTGATAGTCCAGCAAAGGACTTGAGATATCCAGAGTCCTGGGGAAGCCTAAGAATTGAGGGTGCATATGTAACAGCTCCTCTTTCTCAATTCTGCTCCAGCAGCCTTCTCCCTTGAGTCTTCTGGTCACATTCTGGAAGATAAAAATGGAGATTGATAAGCTTAAGGATCTAGCAGCCTTCCCTGGTCCACTAAGCTCTCTGCTGATCCATCAAATGTGGGGCATGGAAAGATTTCCTTCAGTTTCAGAGACAGATCCATCTATGGTCAGACAGCCCAAACTTGCCAGCTTCCTGTCCTGCAACACAGCAAAAAAACACATTTGTGAGATGAGTGACAGAGCAGGGAGGAAGGGAAGGGAAGAAGGAAGGAAGGAGATGGAGGATGGAGGGATCAATGGAAGGAAGGAAGGAAGGAAGGAAGGAAGGAAGGAAGGAAGGAAGGAAGGAAGGAAGGAAGGAAGGAAGGAGATGGATGGAGGGACCAATGGAAGGAAGGAAGGAAGGAGATGGAGGATGGAGGGACCGATGAAAGGAAGGGAGGAAGGAAAGGAAGGAAGGAAGGAAGGAAGGAAGGAAGGAAGGAAGGAAGGAAGGAAGGAGATGGAGGATGGAGGGACCGATGAAAGGGAGGGAGGGAGGAAGGAAGAAAGGAAGGAAGGAAGGAGATGGAGGATGGAGGGACCGAAGGAAGGAAGGAAGGAAGTTTTTTTCCTTTATAGGAGTCAATGCAATATGATACAATGCAACATTTCTGTTTTTAGACCTGAATAAATATTTCATCAACTGAAGCAAAATCCGTGTACACAGAAGGCAGTGCAGTGGAGCATCCAGAGAGAGGCCACTGCTGGGCTTTTTTGACTTGCACTTAGGGGGATAGGATCCAACTTTTCTGGCCTTTTGTCCAGGCTTAATTCAGCATCAGTTGCCAGGCCCCAAATGCCCAAACCAACTTCTCTCGTTCCTCTCCTTGAGGTCTCGTGGATCCATCTGCCTGGGAAGGAAAAAAAAAAAGGAAGTTGACTTGAGTGTGGAAAAATTCATTTGTTGGCCCCATCCGTTCCTTAAAATTCAATAAAATCCCACCTTAGGAAAGCCGTAGAAGCAAGGCGTTCCCCTCTTCCAATCAATCAACGTATCCAAACGGGAGGAAAAGGGGAAAGGAAGATAACATTTGAATTCTTGTTAATCCTCTCCTCCCCTTCCACCTTTGACTATGATTTGACCAGGGGTTTGACTCCCTACATGCTAGTCTGTTTTTGAAGACCCAGGCTGGGTGATTTATAAGAGGTAGCTAGCTATAAATAGTGAAAAATAAGGAAACCACCTTGGTTTAGGGCAGCGGCTCTCAACCTGTGGGTCGGGACCCCATTTGGGGTCGAACGACCATTTCACGGGGGTTGCCAAACAACGCAGTCCGCCATTTTCCCCCCCTTTTCCTTAGCTGTGCTCCTCCCTTTTATTCTATTGGCTTTTGAAAGCCAATAGAAGAGACTCTCTTGAATAGAGTCTAATTCTATTGGCTTTCAAAAGCCAATAGGAATGGTCCAGGCTGTCTCTGCCCTGCTGAGCCCGCCAAAAGTCCCATTCTGCAAACGGCGCTGCACCAGTTGAGTAGTCCTCGACTTACGACCGGTCGAGTAGTCCTCGACTTACGACCGGTTGGGGGGTCGCAGCATTAAAAAGGTTGAGAACCACTGGTTTAGGGAATGCAGATCATTTTTTTTCTCCAAGCTGGGTGAATTTCGTGACCCAGATCAGCAGCACTCAGGAGGGAAATGTTATGGGGAGGGTCCCTTGTCCTCCCTTTCTCTTCCCTCTTCCTTCTTTCTCTTCCCTTCTTTCTCCCCTTTTGTTCCGGTGTTTGCATGCCAGTAACCCCCTCCTCCCCCTTCCTCCTTTTTTTCCCATAGTTGATGGTTTTTCTCTCTCTGTCGGCCCCAGCTAACCCTCTTTCTCTCGTCCAGGAGGGTCCCCACCCAGGCTGCAACTTGGAGGACCTTGTATGGTAAACTCTTACCAGTTCTGCTACCCCGCTCTGCCCCCTCCCCCCCTCAAAGTACTAACCCTCCCCACGAGCCTCCTGATCCATCCAGACTAACCCCGAACCCGCGGCGCTGTTCATCCGCCACCATTTTGTTCCTTATCGCTTTCCGCCGAGGGGCTGAACACTCTTTTTTTTAAAACGGTTTGGGTGTCGTCGAACCATCGCTTATTTTGACACACCGCCTCCCGTGGCGCTTTCTTTACTCAACGGTTAACCCAAGGGTCTCTTCCTGGCCTTGTCTCTCCTCCCACCGCCCTGTTTCTTCCCTGCAGCCACCAAAGTCTTCCAAGGGGTCCTCATTTTGGAAGAGGTGGAAGGCCAAGAGTTGTTTTACACCCCCGAAATGGCCGATCCCAAATCGGAGCTCTTTGGAGAGACAGCCCGGAGCATCGAAAGCGCGGTAAGCAAGCACGGAAAACCATCTGTCCACTTGCGGTGGGATTGCGTAGCACAAGTGTGGCTGCTCTCCCGCAGCCCCGGGGGGGGGGGATCCCTGTCGGTCCACCCACGTAAAATCCAGCTCTTGCAGGAGATTTTGAGGAGGACCCTGGTGGGTGAATAAGGATGCTTTATCCCTAAATCTTTTTTTTGGTGATTGGTTTGTTTCATTTCCGGGCAGCTGGACGAGCTTTTCCGCAACTCGGAGGTCAAGAGGGATTTTAAGAGCGTCCAGGTGAGGCACCTGGGCCAAAGCAGCGCGGTCAGGGTCATTGTGGAGTCCCATTTTGATCCAGGTAAGTCTGCACCTGGTTCCCCCTCGCCTTTGAGGCAGGCGCAGGCCTGCGTCAGTTGGTTAGATTTATGATGGATCCGTTGGTTGGTTTGAATTCGGTCACTCTTGAGCAGGGGTGGGCAACTACGGGCCCTTTTAGGATCGGTGGACTTTGACTCCCAGAATTCCTGAGCCGGTATGGATGGAGGGGAGGAAGGAAGCATGGCCAGCTCAGGAATTCTGGGCATTGAAGTCCACAGGTCATAAAGAGGCCATAGTTGCCCAGCCATGCTCTTGAGGCTACATCTATAGGGACTACATCTAAGTCCACCTCCCATTTTCTTCTGCCACAACAACCCTAGGAGGTAGGCCAGGCTCCAAGGGAGCAGGGACCTTTTTCCTAGTCCTTGTCCCACTCCTTCACTTCAACACCGCTCCAGTTGTGTCTGTTGTGAAAACTCCCATCCTCTCTCACCAGGCTGGCCAGGAGTCCAGGATGATAGAAATGGAAAGCCTAAGTATTCGTATTGTCGTAGGCCATTGTTGTCCCCATTCTCTCAATTCTTAAAAGCTGAAGGATTCAGGCTGGCTGGAGATTGTAATAATTCTGCTTTTCCCCCAGAAGAATTTCCAGGCAGGCAAAAGGATGCCATGGAACCTTGTCCCAGATTTTCTGCTTTTTTTTTATAACGCAAGATCAACGTTCCAAATCCACCCCCCCTTTTTTTTTCTCTCTTCTTTCCTTAGAGCCAAAGAACCCATTCTGAGTTCAAAGCTTTTATCAGCCGGGTGGCACCCAAAAAAAAAAAAAAAAGCAGTTTGTCTTTTGCTTTTCATTTTGAAACCCCTTTTAAGGCGTGTCTTTGGCTTAGCGAAAAGAAAGGGGGAAGGGAAGCTGACCCAGTTGGGGAGGGGGACTGTGTGTGTGTGTGTGTGTGTGTGTGTGTGTGTGTGTGTGTGTGTGTGTGTGTGTGTGTTGTGTGCTGGCTTCAAGGTGGAGGATGCCCCCTCCAGGCTTCTGTTTCTTCTTTTCCTTGATGTTTGTAGCTACTTCTTACACGGCTCCCGACATCCAGAGGGCCCTTTTGAAGCAGATCAAAGCCTCTAAGAAAAAAACACTGCTGGTGAAGAGACCGCAGCAAGAGAACATCAAGTTCATGGACTTTGGTATCTTCCCTTCTTCCTTCTTTCCTTTCTTCCCCCCCCCCTCCCTTCCTCTTTTCATCCTCTTTCTCCTCCCTCCCTTCTTTCCTACCTCTCTACTTTCGTCCTTTTTTTCCTGTCTCGGCAGTTAACATTTTCCTTGTCAAAAAAAAAGTTCATCCCTTTCCCAGAACGTCCATTAAATCTTCCTGCTCCCCTCCATCGCTGGGACTTTGCGAGAGGATTTTTCGCTGCGAAGACAGGCAATTCCCTTTTGGTGGGCAGCGTTGCCAGCTTCCTCATCCACTCCGGGAGCCAGTGATGCCAATTCCTACAGCTTTTGCCCGAGAGAGATGCTTTTCCTAGTTTTTCTCTCTTTGGGAAAGGTGGAACAAGAACAAAGTTTTCGGCCAGCTGCTTAACAGGCTGGGTTTTTCTCTCCAGAGTTTTGATCCGTTGCTTAATCTGGGGCTGATAGGGCGAGACAGCGCTCCATTTATTCCTAAGAAACTTATCCTGCCCGAGCTTCACGTTTGGGCAGGGACAGCGTCCACAACCGCAGAGCCAACGGAGAAAAGATTTGTTTCTCGGCTTTCTGTCTCTTCCCTCTTAACACCTTCTCTCCATCACGGTTGGGTTTCTTGTGGTGGGGAGTTCCACCGTTCCATTCCAGTCCCCCAACCCTTCAGCTTCCTCTTGTTGTAGAGATGGGAAAAAAACCTGGAAAAATTGTGAAAAAAAAACCCAGATTTTTTTTCCAAATGGCTTTGGAAAAAAACAGAAAAAAGCCCTAGGTTATTCCCAATTTTCCCGGGGTTTTTTTCCCCCCAGACCTTCCCATCTCTACTCTTGTTCTCCTTCTAGACTGGATCCCCCAGCTTTTCACCACCACCACCACCACCACGATCGCCACCACCATGGCCCCCACAGCCAGCGGCTCCCAGCGGTTCCCCATCACCCCTACCAGCCGGACCCTGAATCCAGGACGGCTAAACGGGAAATCCTCTGGGACGGTCGCAACCAAAAGGCCCAGCACCAGCCTTCCAGCCTCCACAGACCGGAAGAAGCCCCTGCGCCCTGTGCCCACCACCCGGAAGCCCGCTCGGCCCTGTGAGTCTCACCCCTGCTTGCATGGGGGCACCTGCGAGGACGACGGCCGAGATTTTACCTGCAGCTGTCCAGCTGGAAGAGGAGGGGCTGTTTGCGAGAAAGGTAAGTTCCAAGGATGAAATTCCCTGACAGTGAGAAGAATGGATCGGTGGAACAGCTGATTGTGGGTGCTCCATCACTGGAGGTTTTTAAGAAGAGATTGGTGTAGGTATAGGGCAGTGGTTCTCAACCTGTGGGTCGGGACCCCATTTGGGGTCGAACGACCATTTCACGGGGGTCGCCAAACCACGCTGTCCACCATTTTGTTCGCTTTTCCCTAGCTGTCCTACTCCCTCTTATTGGTGGCCACACCCACTTGGGGGGTCACCACAACATGGGGAACTGTATTATGGGGTCACAGCATTAGAAAGGTTGAGAACCACTGGTATAGGGTCTCCTGCCCGAACAGAGGGGTGGACTAGAAGACCTCCAAAGGTCCCTTCCAATTTCGTTATTCTGTGTTCTACGTTCTATATCATCTTCCCCACAAACATAACAGGGTTTGAGAGGAAGAAGAAATATCCACTTTGGGGAAGACGCATCCCATTTCTGCTTCTCAGCTCCAGACTGTTTTCTTTGATTTATCTATGACTGATGTTCACACACACCCCACTCCCCCAAATGGCTTTAAGGGCCGGGCAACAAAGAGACAGCATTATACACCAAGTGGTCTCGCAGGAGGGGGCCACTATTGAGAAGGCACCGAAAAGCATTCCTGCTTTTCAAATTAATAATGGGGCATTCAGAGCCAAAGGGGCAGTGATGGGGGGGGGGAGATGGGTAAATGCAGCACACCTACATTTTGTAAAGAAAGGGTCTTTTCATACATTGCAACACGCTCAAGGGAACGGGGATTTGCCCTTGTAAAGGACATGGTGAGAGTTTGGGGGGGGGAGAAGTGCTTTTATCCCCCTGGATTCAAAAGCTCTTGCTTGAATAAGGAATAACGCAGGGATTCCCCCTCCCTCCCCGTAGCCTCCTGGCTTTCTTCCTCTTGATCCTAACAACGCAATTTTCCCCTGTGAATTCTCTGCCCCATCGCAGCCATCCGATACTTCATCCCCAGCTTCGGCGGGAAGTCCTACCTGGCCTTCAAAATGATGAAGGCCTACCACACCGTGCGCATCGCCATGGAATTCCGGGCCTCCGAGCTGAGCGGGCTGCTCCTGTACAATGGGCAGAACCGTGGGAAGGACTTCATCTCCCTGGCGCTGGTGAATGGATTCGTGGAGCTGAGGTGAGGGATAGCCTGACAGGTGGCAGGAGAGGTAGGGCTCGGAAGGCTTTCCTTGAAGCAGGATCACCAACCAGACGCCCCGACGAGAACTTGGCAGGAGGGACATTGAAGAAACTGCAAGGCCATCATTCTCAATGCTGCTAATGTCAGATGTTCTTGCTTTGACAACAGATGGAGATGCAACCATTTTCTTCTTATGTTTTACTCTTAGAGTTGGAGTTAGATGATGCTGGGGGGGGGGAGGAATGAGCATGAGAGTTTAGCTAGACACAACAATACTGAACCTAGTGTGAGAACCAAGGTTATTGAAATAAGAGATGATAACTGGAGAACTAGAGGGGAAGCCTGCATTTCAAACTAATTGGAGAATGTGATTTATGACTGTTAATTGAGGAGGAAATTGTGCTTTGATACTATGTGCTCAGTGGAGGGGAACCCAGTTTTTGTCTTTGACGAGGCCATGCTACGCAAATAAAGATTCTTTAAGGTAAACAATGCCTCGAAGTTCTTTGAAGAGTTTCGTCTGTCGGAACCATGATAATCATCTCTCACAATCTCTCCCAGGTTGAACACCGGCTCGGGGACAGGCGTGATCACCAGCCGGGTGCCCATCGAGCCTGGCCAGTGGCACGCGCTGGTGGTCAACCGGAACCGGAGGAACGGCGTGCTGTCCGTGGATGGAGAGCCGCACGTCCACGGCGAGAGCCCAAGTGGAACCGATGGGCTAAATCTTGATACCGACCTCTTCGTTGGAGGAGCCCCGGAAGACCAAATTGCTGTGTGAGTAATTTTGACGGCGGAGGGCTTCGTCCACCGATGGCTGGCAATTTTTCTAGATACTGGGAGACTGCTATCCAGTCCCCCCTCGTCCTTCTCTTCATTAAACTAGACAGACCCAATTTCAGCAACCGTTCCTTCTATGTTTTAGCCTCCAGCCCCCTAATGACCTGTAGTTGTGTTGAGCATGTTGCTTAAAAGAGACTGAGCTGTGGGGAGGTTTCTCAGCAAGCCAGGATCCCACACCTCTGTCAGGATCCACCTCTGCCAGTCCCTGGCTGAAGTGCCCTTGCTTTAAACCCGGAGAAGAGATTTTAGCAACTCCTGGGCCAGTGGTGAGACTCGGGGTTCAGAGCGCCCTCCGGAAAGGTTGAAGCCTTTGGGTGATTTCCTGGTTTGTTTCCCGCCTAGGGTGGCCGAGCGCACGTCGGTCACCGCTGGCCTCAAGGGCTGCGTCCGTCTGCTGGACGTCAACAACCAGATGTACGACCTGCGGGAGAAAGGTGACGACGTGCTCTATGGCAGCGGAGTGGGCGAGTGTGGGAACAACCCCTGCCAGCCCAACCCCTGCCACCACGGCGGGCTGTGCCACGTCATGGAGGCCGAGATGTTTCACTGCGAGTGTCTCAACGGCTACACAGGTGGGCAGAGCTTTTGTGTGCGTTTGTGTGTGTACGTAAGCTGGCTTCCCCTTTTCCCCTGCAGAGCTAGCGTTCTAAATGCAAGGAGGTGGCGTTTCCCTCCCCCCCCCCCCGGGCAGAGGGGTGAAGAGGCTGGGATTCTCTCCCCCAATCCACTGCTCTGGTGAAAATGATGGTTAGTGGAAGAGGGTAGAACTGTGGGGTCCGTGGGGCCCTCTGAGCTTGGTGGCCTTCTTGCAGACATTTCATTGACTGCACTAGGTAACATCATCAGTGCTAGGAGAGAGTGGGGTTTGCAGGGAGGAGGAGGAGAAGGAGAAAGAGAAAGAGGAGGGCTGTGGGGTTCCTGTTGCTCTCTGAGATGGGTTATTTTCTTGCAGACGTTTCATTACCCAACTAGATAACAGGATCAGTGCTAGAAGGGAGCAGGAGCGGGGTTTGCAGAGGAAGAGGAGGCTGTGGGGTCCTTGGTGCTACCTGAGCCGGGAGCTTTTCTTGCAAATGATTGCCAAACCCATTCAAAGCCCCTCCAGATGTTAGCTGCCTTGCTCACCTCTTTGCCTCTCGCCCTGCCTTAGGACCCACCTGTGCCGACGAGAGAAACCCCTGTGACCCCAATCCCTGCCACCTCTCCGCCACCTGCTTGGTCTTGCCCGAAGGCGGGTCGAAATGCGAATGCCCCATGGGGCGAGGAGGCGAATTCTGCGAATCAGGTGAGCGGCCCCTGAGGAAAGCTGGAAAAGGTGGGGGTTAGGCCAGGATGGCAGCTGCGACGGAGGTTGAAATCACCCAAGCAGAACTGGGTGCAAGACAGATCCTTGAGGCCAGTCTTTCTCAACCTCAGCAACTTTTTAAGACAGGTGGACTTCAACTCCCAGAATCCCCCAGCCAGCACAGCACAGAATTCTGGGAGTCGAAGCCCCATCCGTCTTAAAAGTGGCCGAGGTTGACAAACGCTGCATTAAGACACTCCTCCGATTACGCTCCTGCCATTATTATGCCCTTGGAGTTAAATTTCTGTATGAAGCTCTCCTGCTTCCAAATAAAAGTTTCTCCAGCCAGAATGTCCAGAGATCTCTTTCACATTTCTTTAAACGTTTAAAATGAAAAAAAAATATTGTCTGCTTTTGAGTCCAACCCCCTTTGGTGGGAGCTTTCGATCCACAGACTGGGCAGCCTGTCATATGTTGGATTTGAGCTTATAGCAAACGGCACAAACCCTGTTAATTCAACAAGCCACCACTTAGCACACATCCAGTAAATGGCTTTTGTTACTTCATCCATGCCGCCTCTTCTCCTTCTCTCTCTCTCAGTTGAAGAAATGGACCAGACCATGCCTTTTCTGCCAGAATTCAATGGATTCTCATACCTGGAGCTGAACGGTCTTCAGACATTTGTGCCAGACCTACAGTACGTTTTTTTTCTTCCTTTTCCTTCCTTCCTTCCTTCCTTCCTTCCTTCCTTCCTTCCTTCCTTCCTCACTGCTTCAAGAAAATGGTAATGATGTTAACAACTGAAAACCTTATTTTATGACTATTTTCTATTGACTGTGTCGTTCTTTATGCTGGTTGCACTTAATGTCACCTCCTAGTTACATTCTAAATACAGGCAGTCCTCGACTTAATGACTACAATCGGGATCAGAACTTCCATCGCTAAGTGAGTCCTGCCCAGTTTTATAGCCAATTTTGCCACAATCATTATCAAATGGTTGGGCTGTTAAATGAATCCGGTTGGCCATTAAGTGAATCCATTCCCCCAGAAGCCGGCTGGGAAGATGGCAAATGGCGACCCTGGGACACCGCAACCATTATAAGTACATTTGGGTTGCCAATTTGAATCACAGGACCGTGTGGAATGATGCAACGGTCATAAGTGTGAGGACTGGTCTTTTTTCAGCGCCCTTGTAACTTTCAATGGCTGATAAATGAATGGTCGTAAGTGGGGGACTTTCCTGTAGAGACTTCCTTTTCCTTCCTTTTTTATTCTCTCTCTGTCTCTCCACTCTCTTTTTTTTCCCTTCTTCTTATCTCCTGTCTTTCGTTCTTTTTCTTTCCCAGAGATGATGTGTGAATTGGGGCAAAATGGTGGTTCAGATCCATCAATTGGATCCGAACTCTCCTCCTGCTGCTTTCAGGGAGGACGGCTTTGATTGGGTTCAGTCGCTGAATCAGTTCATTTTCAGCTTTCCAAACTGATTTGAGGGGATCTGACAAGCCGAGAACTTCGGAAATCTCTTTGGAAGCCTCTTAATTCAGTTTGAGAACTCAAATCCTCCCGGCTGATTCCCTATCGGATTCAGTCAGGAATCAGGTCAAATTTCCAGATGAAATATTCATACGGCCTACTTTAAAAAACAAAAACAAACACGTTTTTTTTTCTTCTGGTTTTTGTTTTGTTCTTGGTTTTGTTTTTGCAACGTGGGAAATTATTTTTCCCCACATTGTTGATGGGCCTCCGTTCAATCCCCCAGGGATAAGATGGCCATGGAAGTGATATTCCTGTCCAGAAATCCAAACGGTTTAATTTTCTACAACGGACAGAAGACGGATGGAAAAGGAGATTTTATCTCGCTGACCCTTCACAATGGATATCTGGAGTACAGATATGACTTGGGCAAAGGTGCCGCCGTAATCAAGTAAGAAAATGCTCCTCTACCCATTTTTTTTTAAGGTTTATTTCAGCCCTTACAGACTTCCGGGGGGGGGGGGGAAAAACTAGGAAAGCAGGTTTTACATACATTTATTTCATTTCTTTCCATCTTGTCACCATGGGAAAACCCTTGACAACTTCTAAGATATGAAAAATGAATGAAAGCGTCCAGAGTACAGTTAGGCGTATATTTTTCACCTGCTTTGCAAAATCATAACCTAATAAATCAACCAAAAACTTTTATACTGTCATTGCAACTTTAGAACGTTGGGTTTCGTAACAGCCTTACAAATAATAACAAATTATATCACTGTGATTGGGTTATCGCCTTAGCGGTGGGATGGGCAGCATATAAAGTTAATGAAATAAAGAAGTAAAAAAATATTTTGGGTGGGGAAGGGGGGGAAAGGAAGAAGAGAGGAAAACAAAAAAGGTTTTGAAATTTCACTACTTTTCTTTGATTTAAAAGTCTTGATTACAGATGCCCGGAAATCATTATAACTCAGATTTTAAATATGGGATTAAACCTAAACCATATGGAATTATGTTGTCCTATCTTGGCTTCTACAAAACCAACTCTTGACTGATTTTAAAAAGTTCCCAGTGTGAAACTGGGGCAGGGGTAGGCAACCTTGGCTCTTCTTTGATTCGTGGACTTCAACTCCCAGAATTCCTGAGCCAGCCATGCTGAGGGGAAAGGGAGAGGCTTCCAAGCTGAGCCATGCTGGCTCAGGAATTCTGGGAGTTGAAGTCCACGAGTCATGAGGGGGCCATAGTTCCCCATGCTGGCTGAGGAATTCTGGGAGTTGAAGTCCACCAGTCATGAGGGGGCCGTAGTTCCCCATGCTGGCTGAGGAATTCTGGGAGTTGAAGTCCACGAGTCATGAGGGGACAATAGTTCCCCATGCTGGCTGAGGAATTCTGGGAGTTGAAGTCCACGAGTCATGAGGGGGCCATAGTTTCCCCCTGCTGGCTCAGGAATTCTGGGAGTTGAAGTCCACGAGTCATGAGGGGGCCATAGTTCCCCATGCTGGCTGAAGAATTCTGAGAGTTGAAGTCCACGAGCCATGAGGGGGCCATAGTTTCCCCCATGCTGGCTCAGGAATTCTGGGAGTTGAAGTCCACGAGTCATGAGGGGGCCATAGTTCCCCCCTGCTGGCTCAGGAATTCTGGGAGTTGAAGTCCACGAGTCGTGAGGGGGCCATAGTTCCCCATGCTGGCTCAGGAATTCTGTGAGTTGAAGTCCACGAGTCATGAGGGGGCCATAATTCCCCATGCTGGCTCAGGAATTCTGGGAGTCGAAGTCCACGAGTCATGAGGGGGCCATAGTTCCCCCCTGCTGGCTCAGGAATTCTGGGAGTTGAAGTCCACAAGTCATGAGGGGGCCATACTTCCCTGAACTAGGGGAACCAGCTTAGCTTAATGGCTTCAGTGATAGAATAGAATGATGTCTTGTTTTGTCTTTTTCTCCTTGTGTAATATCTTGCATTCTTCCCCCCAGGAGCAGAGAGCCCATCACTTTGAACAGCTGGATCAGTGTCTCACTGGAGAGGAACACCCGGAAAGGCATCATGAGGATTAACAACGGAGAACGGATCCTGGGTGAATCGCCGGTAAATTAATGCCACTCTCGAAGACATTTGGGACCCCCTTGTGGGCGATTTCTTAAATTTAGACAAGGATTGCAATCCTCCATCTCTCTTTTAGGCCCCCCGCGGTCTTCCCCAGAGGCACCTTATCGTGATCTGACTGCATTTGCACACAATACGTTTAATCCAGTTATTAAATTAATTTGCTTTTTTTTTTTTTATTCGCATGATAACCCAGTTGGGATGGGGATTGCAAGAAGTGCTAAGCCTCCCAAAATGAGCCCGGGTTCAAACTATAAACAGGTTTGGTGTAACGTGTGAAGGAAGCTGTTAGGAACAACCAATGGGCCCCTGTTAGCATGAGATTTTGGTGAGATTTTTTCCTAATCCCAGAGCAACACAACGGCCTTCCTCTCCTAGCTAATCTGTGGGGCTCTTTTGCCCACAGATATCCTGCCTTGAAGTCTGGAGGTTCCAAAGCTAAGACAGCCCATAAAAAAAATAAACTAGGTCTGTGGTTACGCTCGACTGCTTTCAAACCTAGTTAAGGTGTGGTGGCTGGTATCATTGGGGCTGCCAATGTTTGCAAGCTTGCCTGGAAGCAAATCCTGTTCAGTACAGGTAGTCCTCTACTTACGACTACAATTGAGAGACATTTGTTAAGTGCGTTTTGACCCTTTTTACGACCTTTCCTGCCACATTGTTAAGTGAACCCAAAACACAAAACTACATCACAGCTTTCATTCAATTATATTTATGAGCTAATTGGAGATAATTGGACTTACATCGCTGTGAGATAGATAGATAGATAAATAGATAGATAGATAGATAGATAGATAGATAGATAGATAGATAGATAGATAGATAGATAGATATAGCTATAGCTATAGCTATAGCTATAGCTATAGATAGATAGATAGATAGATAGATAGATAGATAGATAGATAGATAGATAGATAGATAGATAGATAGATAGATAACACCAATATAAGTCCAATTAACTCCAATTAGGTCATAAATTCTTTTTTTTTCTTTATAAAGTTTTATTGATATTTTTTTAACAGAATTCAGTAGTAATCACTCAACAAAAACGTGTTGTCTGAGTATCTTATTCACTAATACAAATTCAGTTCCTAATCCCTAAATCTTTTCTCTAACCGTTGATAAAATAACTCTCTATTTGGTGCTGTGATATCACTGATCTTTTCTCTGTTTTCTCTTTTGATTCCCCTTTGTGTTTCTTCCTCCTCCTCCTTTTCCTCCTCCTCCTCCTCTTCCTTTCTTTTGCTGTCTGGATTTCAGAAATCTCGTAAGGTAAAGAGATAAGTATAATTGACCCTCTCATCCCCATTTCCTTTCCATCACGATCAATCATTATTTTTTTTGCTTCCCCATCCCAACACCAATAATAGTACTATAGATTATCATCTCCCTCTTTCCCCCCCCCCATTACACAACCACCTCTTTTAGCATAGATGCTTCCTTTTTTCTAGTTAAAAGAGAGCCATTTGCATCCAGAATAATTAGTTTTGTGTGGTCTCCACTCCCCTTTCCTTTCCTGAGTTTGAGCCATTTTCCATCATTAATGCTTTCACCCATTAGATAGTTCCCTTTTAACCCGGTGAATTTGAAAGAGCGGGTGGTGCCTTTGATATGGGGGCAAAATAAGGGTTCATTAAACCATGGCTTGTGGTTGGGGAAGCTGGAACCGTCTTTTTTTCCTCCCTTGCCACAATAGTTTCACTGGTTCTCAACATTAGATTTGATTAAAATACCTCTAGCACAGTGGTTCTCAACCTGTGGGTTGGGACCCCATTTGGGGTCGAACGACCATTTCACGGAGGTTGCCAAACAACACAGTCCGCCATTTTTTTTCCCCCTTTCCTTAGCTGTGCTACTCCCTTTTATTCTGTTGGCTTTTGAAAGCCAATAGAAGAGACTCTCTTGAATAGAGTCTAATTCTATTGGCTTTCAAAAGCCAATAGGAATTGTCCAGGCTGTCTCTGCCCTGCTGAGCCCGCCAAAAGTCCCATTCTGCAAACGGTGCTGTACCAGTTGAGTAGTCCTCGACTTACGACTGGTTGGGGGTCGCAGCATTAAAAAGGTTGAGAACCACTGCACTAACAGGACCAGATTAAATCTCTAATAAGCTGTTGGTCTTACAGCTGTAATGAGCTAGCCCCCAACTTCGATTGGCACCGTTTTTCTGTGGGTTAACAGAAGAGGAAAGGCACTGCAGGAACCTGTGGGGCTAGTTTATTGCTAAATTGGTTTGCTGAAGATACATCCCATCCCTTCCTACAACATGGTCTGATCAACCATCCAATTAAAGGTCCTGTCCTCCACGAAAACTGTACTGCGCTGTCATAAATGTGATAATCTTCGAGGCGATCCAGATAGGTTTTTCTCGTAGTGGATAGGTGCCTTCCTTCTACTCTTTGTGGCCTCCGTTCTCAGTGATTTTTTTTCCCTCCCCTTTTATCCAGTTGCCCCACACCTCACTGAATTTAAAGGAACCCCTCTATGTGGGCGGAGCACCAGACTTCAGCAAACTGGCCCGGGCTGCTGCGGTGTCTGCTAGCTTTGACGGAGCCATCCAGAAGGTACGGAACGGTCTTCCTGGTTCGTTGTCTCCAAAGTTAGTGCTGTGGATTTGGGGTTGGTTGTTTGAGAAGGTTCATGGGGATTGATAGTTTCACAGTGCACAGTGGTGTCCTCCCCCAAAGTTTGCATCAAAAGTAAGGTCTCCAGCCTTGGAGAGACAGTTGGACTAGAAGACCTACAAATATGCAACTCCGTTTTACTAGTGAATGCTTCAAAATGTTAGTCTCGGGAAAGCAAAAAAACCTCTCCGCTCCTAGATAACATTCCAGTTCAACGCTTCTCTTGGTTTTGAAGGGAATTGTACCTGGAAGGCAGGTTCCCTTCTGTGATCCCTGGGGTGGGACTTGAAGGCTATCTTGGGTGGCCTTCTGAGAACTTGTTCCCAAAAAGAAGTAGATTAAAAATGGAGGATCTTTAGTTTTTCTGGCTACTAGAGAACTGCAACTTTCAAGAGCTGCAACAAACACGGGGTGGAGAATGCAGGGATTTGTGTTCTGTAGCCATGGAAAAGTTAAAATGGATTCCTGGATAGAAAGAGAATCCTTAGGAATATAAAACATGATGAGAAAAAAGCAACCACTGATTAGGTTTAGCGCCGAGACGGATCCAGTGGGCTCCTTGCTGTAGGGAGGACTGGATCCCATGGGTAGGACAGTTTTCAGTTGAATGGTAGGAGGAAGTTTTTGATGGTACTTGAGAAGGAAACCATTCACTGGAAAGATGGTGGTTTGGTCCTCCAGAAGCTCATCAGATGTTGGTTGAAAGTTCTCTTCTTCGGGACATCATTGCATTAGACCAGACATCTCCCTCCTACAATCCTTTAGGACCGTATGGGATAGCAGTTTCCATAACTACCACCCAGTAGGATCATTAGCCATGCTAGCTGAGAATTATGGGAATTCCACCAGGAAGGCCCCAATCTGAGTCAGGTTGGCTTCTTTGATCCCTGGGGTGGGACTTGGCAGTCTGTTAGTCTCCTTTTTAAAACTCTGTCATTAAGACCCTAATCCTTCCTTCCTTCCTTCCTCCCTCCTCTCCAATGGCTCAGATTTCCATCAAAGGGACCCCCGTCCTGAAGGAGGAGAACATCCGCAGCGCCGTTGAGATTTCTCCTTTCCGCTCTCATCCCTGCACTCAGAAGCCCAGCCCTTGCCAGAACAGGGGGTCCTGCAAACCCCGCCTGGAGGGCTACGAATGCACCTGCCCCAGAGGCTTCTTCGGGACCCACTGCGAGAAAGGTGAGGCTCGGTTGGCAGAGAAAACGCCTGTGGACCCGGGAAGGAGATCTCAACCCACAGCCAGTTTGATCCTTGATAGTGCAGAACAGGTAGAATGCCTTCCCCAACCTGGTTGGTGCCCCCCAGGACAGCTCAGGGGCCTTCTTTCTACTGAATCCCAGTTTGGGTCTAGGGAACCCCAAGAGCCGTGGGAGCACAGTGGTTAGAATGCAGTATTGCGGGCTCACTCTGCCGACTGCCGGCAGTTCGATTCTCAGTGGCTCAAGCTTGACTCAGCCTTTCCTCCTTCCGAGGTCAATTAAAGGAGGACCCAGATTGTTGGGGGGGCCTTGTAAACCGCCCAGAGAGGGCTCTAAAAGCACCATGAAGCGGTATATAAGTCTAAGTGCTATTGTATATAAGTATATAAATCTCAAGACGGGCTGGAAGTGGGGTTTTGAGGCAGGATATTTTCCAGCCTGAAATGATCAAAATTCTGAGCCTTCCACCTCCCCAATTGCCCCCTCCCTCCCAAAGCTGAGACACAGAACGTGCTGACATTCTGCTGAGATGCAGCACCTCCTGGCTGGGGATGATGGGGGTCCGTTCTCAGGGTTTGCTTCCCTCCCTGCAGTCCTCACTGAGAAGGCAGCTGGAGACTCGGAAGCTGTCGCCTTCGACGGCAGGACCTACATAGAATACCACAACGCTGTTACCAAGAGGTAATGACTGGGGAGGGGGGGGGAGAGAGATTTGGGGAGACCGAAGAGAGGAGCCTGACTTTAAAATCTGGCCGTGGGGAGAGAGCCCCATTTCGTACAGGCCCACCTCCCTCGGGTAGAGCTGGACCACGAGTCCCACCCACTTTCCGCCAAGCATTTTCTCAAGCGTGGCAACTTGAAGACGGGAGGACTTCAACTCCCAGAATCCCCCAGCCAGGAGTGAAGAATTGGGAGTCCTTCCATTCACCGATTCGGTGACCGAAATCTGAAGGGGGGCTAATCCCTTCTCCCCCTCCCCCCCTTCGGTCTTTGCCACCTTCCCTGCGTCCAAAGCAAGGGACCCAAAGCAGAAGATTCGTTCCCAGCTCAAAACCTTGAGGGCAACAAAACTCAGCCTGTAGGATATTTTTTGGGGGGGGGAGGGAATCTTCCCCCCATTTTTTTTATCTGTAACACCCTCTCAGAAGCTCCTGTGCAGAGTTTGAAAGCCGTGTTCTTTCCCCTACGCCCATTTTTAGAACGTGCACTTTGCAGATACACTGCTCCTCCAGAGGGATGCTCCATTCAGCTCATCCAACCTATTGTGTTTGCCCACTTGTGTGTGTGTGTGTGTGTGTGTGGGTTTCTGTATGTCTCGTTCTTGGCTGATTTAATTATTCTCCAATCCCACCCAAGATGTCTTAGCTCTCCTGGCCTTTGGAGACTCCGCTAACAACTCTCCCCTTCCAGAGTCTCTTTGGTGAACAAGATATGTTGTTGCTTTTTTTTTCTTTCCTTCCTTCCTTCCTTCCTTCCTTCCTTCCTTCCTTCCTTCCTTCCTTCCTTCCTTCCTTCCTTCCTTCTTTTCCTTCTCTCTGTCCTCAACCACCTTTGTGTTTTTGTTTCGTTTGCAAGCCAACTGACCAATGAGATACCAGCGTAAGTAAAACGTCTTCCTCGCTCGCGCCTCCGTTTCCATCACTTTCCCACACCCGCCATCCTTCCGCCTGCCGATCCATCCTTTCTGCTTCTCCCCACCAAGGGCTTCTTGAGAAATTAACCCAGGAAGATCTAGCAGGTTGTCACCTCTTCACTTAAATCCAGGACACTTTTACAAGTCCTTCTGCTCTTCTTTTTGGCCACGGAGTTAGAGCTAGCTATTTTAAGTGTCACTGTGCGGTGCTTGAGCTTCGTGATTTTCTTGCAGACATTTCATTACCAAACTAAATAACATAATCAGCGCTAGTAGGGGATGGGGGGGAATCTGCTCTCGTCTTATATATCACCAGCACTGGTGTTGTTACCTAGTTTGGTAATGAAACATCTGCAGGAAAACCACCCAGCTCAGAGAGCACCAAGGACCCCACAGCCATTGTCCTCCCCTTCCTCTTCCTCCCACACCCCACTTCTTTCTAGCACTGATGATGTTACCTAGTTGGGTAATGAAACGTCTGCAGAAAAACCACCAAGCTCAGAGAGCACCAAGGACCCCACAGTTCAACTCTGAGCTACACATATTCTCTTCGATCGGTAAATAAAATCTTCCCAGGGCCACAAGCACCCAAATCCTTTTTGCTAGCTTGGTCTAGATCATGTTGGTCTTAAACTTGTCAACTTTAAGACAGGTGGACTTCAACTCCCAGAATTCCTCAGCCAGCACGAGAAACACTGAATGAATCTGGGCAGATGGCAGTCCCTTTTCCCCATGACCCTTGTTCAGATCTCTGCCTCGTAAGATTACGTGCCCCCAAGCACTTAATTAAAATTTAAAACTAAAATTAGCAATTCAAGATGGACGGAGGTGCGGTTTGTCCATGTCCTGGATAGTTTCACGCCTCCCCCTTAATCTTGAAAAAGAAGCGAGGAAATTGCAACTGGGACAAAACACAGCCTCAGTTTTCAGTGACTTGGTTTCCCACTGGCGAAAAGAAATCCAAAGGAATCTGGGGGGGGGGGGATGTCAATATGTTTTTTTTTTCTCTTGCAAATGGAGGAAAAAAAATCAAATTTAAGGCAGGGATGCTGGCCACTTCCTTTTGCAAAAAGCAGGTCTCTGTTCAGAAGTGAGACGTTTACCATGTGCGAGCTTGACGGTCGGAATGAAATGATGCCTGTATTATAAACAGAAAGGGATAAAAAACAAAGAAGCAAGTGGAAAAATAGTCCTTGGAAGCCTTTGTGAAGTTTGAGGGTTTCCTCTGCTCGGTAAAGGGTTGTTGTTATTGTTGTTGTTACTTTAAATCATTCTCCAGACTTCACAATGGAGCAAAACGGCTTGAGAGCTCAGCTTTAGCAAAGGCTGAAATGTCCCTGCTCAGCCTTTACAGCTGAAAGCTCTCTTAGGGGACTTCAGATCCAGTTCAGAGAGAGAAAAGTCAACTTTTTCCACATTTGTGGAGTTGAAATGAATAAACGCCTCGATTTATTTCCAAGAGTCCATGTTTGGGGGTCATTTTCCTGAAGCTTTATATGGGGACAGAATTTTGGATTCTCAAAATTTTGGAGTGCCTTTCTTCTTTCCTTTCTCTCTCCCTTTCTTTCTTTCTTTCTTTCTTTCTTTCTTTCTTTCTTTCTTTCTTTCTTTCCTTCCACACATGCCCAACTCTTGAGTCTCAGCGCATGAATTAGTTTCGGAGAGAAATCCCAATCTGCATAATTGAAATAAGGATGTGAGATATGAAACAGAGAGAAGGGGGGCTTTTTCGTTTGACTTTCCACTTACTTCCCTTCTCTCCACCCCCCCACCCCTCCCAGCTCTCCCTTCGTTTAACCCTCATCCACTCTAACCCAAGACTGAAGTCACTTTATGAGTTGTTGCGATGCCTAATTTCCCATTGCTTGTTCTGCTGATTACAGTAATTCCTCAATAGTGTAAATAATACGGAAGTTTCTCCCTGCCGCGCGTACATCAGGGCTGGGCTAAATGGTTCCAGATTTGAACTGCTTTCGATTCGGAACACCCCATTTCAAGCTTGAAAGGATTATTTCAAGCCCAAAATCAGCTGTTCTGCATTTCAGACACGTTGCTGGGCATTGTCTAGAAAATTTTGCCTCCACAAAACGTTTGGCACACCCAGGTGCCCAGTGGAAGTATGGCTTGTCTCAGATCTGTATCTGGAAAAGGCCAGCAGGATGGCCGGGTTTTCATTAGGGACTAGCTGCTTTTTCCACCTTGATCGGTTCATATTTTATCCCGGTGCTTAATGCATGCCTCCACTTTCTTTCTGCTTCTAAGTCCCGATGCTTTGGATTACCATCTGGAGCTCAGGTGAGTCTTGTTCCGGAGCAGGTGTGCTTGTACCTTGCATCCAGATCTCGCTGTTCCCTTTTTTTTTTTTTTTCATTTTGACATTCGGCTTGGCTCTTCTGCATGCTTTCGCCTGTTTCTTACAGGTTCACCTCCTTGAGGTATTTGCTATATTTCTCCTTGGAAGCAGAGGTAGGCCAGGATGAAAATCCAGTTGAACGGGCTGAAGGGTTCACCCAGAGCAGAGTATCTCTGCTTCCTAAGAGTTGAGAACAAGGTCAAGCCGTGTTTGACCAGCAAAACCAAGCCCTAGTCATCCAGATCTTGGTTACTCTCATTTTTTCAGGCTGGGTCTCAAAGGCATAACAAGCTTTGAGAGGTCCACAAGCTGCCATAAAGAAACGGACAAATTTTTATTCAATTTTTCACCGTTCTTAACATAGGTCCCTTCTGTTAATCAAGGTTATTCCATCTAACCACAGAATCTAGGCCTCAGTTTCCCCGAGTCCAGGGGATGTGGATGCTGAAACCATCCCTGCAGGAAGATTCAACTCTAAATGTGGAACTCAATCTGCTCCCCCCCCCCCGTATCTAGCTAATTAATGATTAATCTGGTCCATTAATTGTCAATCCCAGACAGATTAGTTTAGTGCTATCATAGGATGTGGTCACAATCAGTGGAAGCAACCAGTTTTGCAGTGTTTTTTTCGGGGGGGGGGGTTGATTTTGATAATCTTAAATTGCAAAACAAAACAAAGTTTTTTTTAAAAAAGTGCTCATTTGGAGCTGGCAGCCGCTGAGGCTGCTATAAAAGAAGCAATTTTAATTTAGGCAATTCCTAATTGTGTTACGCAGATGAGATAAAGGAAAGGATAGATCTGTCTTAGCCAGAAAACAGGCATAAGAGGAAATTCAGAAATGTAGTTCTGTGTTTTTTTTCCTGGATTGCAGCTGATAACAAGCAATGGAGGCTTCTGTAGCAATTCCAAATCTTATCATGCTGTTACCTCAAGTAGTGTTTTAAGAATAATGCTGATTAAACCCCAGTGAAAAACCAGGATCCTCTATAGGATTTCAGCTCCCTATTTTTAAACCACCAATTTCCTCTTTTCATCTCAAATAGTTTTTGCTCAGAGCGATCCATTTCTCTCCCCCCCCCCCCAGGGCCAGGAGGGAAAACTGTGTCCTTGCAGTCCCGTGTTGTGATGTCTCTCGTCTTGTGTGGATGTGTGTATTATCCGTGTGTACATTGTGCTCTGTGACAGTGGAACGCTTTAAATTCTCTAGCTGGTTTGTTGATTTTTCTCTGCTTCCATCAAACCTCTCAAGCCGAAGAGAGATCTTGGCAAGGAATAAACCGGATCTAAGAGTAGTTTGATTCTGGTTAGTTGGCCGTCTCACTTTGTGCTTCAGAAGCTACAGTGTCCCCAAGATCTAGAATTGCAGAAATATACACAGTTCAGCCTTTCAAGAAATAAAATAACAAGAAGGGCGGGCAACCTTAGCTTCCTACCATTTAAAGGGAGTACTCGACTTATGGCTCACGTATGCTAAGTGAGACTTTTGTTAAGTGAGTTTCGCCCCATTTTACGACTCTTCTCGCCACCCGTATTAAGAGAAACCCTACAGCTGTTAAGTTAGTGACATGACTGTTAAGTAACTCCGGCTTCCCCATTGACTTCGATCATCAGAAAGTCACAAAGGGGGAGTCACGTGATCCCCAGGCACCCTGCCGCCGTCATAAACGTGAGCCAGTTGCCAGGCAACTGAATTTTGATCACATGACCGTGGAGGAGGATGCTGCTGCAGCGGTCGTTAAGAGTGAAAAAAAACGGACCTTGCTCACTTTTTTCCAGTGCTGTTATAACCCCGAACAGTCACTGATAATGAATCATTGTAAGTCGAGGACGGCCTGTAGCGCCGTATGACCCGGCTTAAGTTCCAAGTCGTATTACAACTTGGATTCACCCATCCCGTGAAGCTGCAGTTGGTTTAATCTGAACTCAACCCTAATCTGTCGGGATTGCACGTCCTAAACCAGAGGCGTCAAACTGCCCGGCCCGCAGGCTTGGATGCGTCACACCGAAACCGTGCCCACCCCATTGCCAGCAAGTCACAATACGTCGTGACAAGTCACATGACGTGGCAAGTTGTACACCCTTGTCCTAAACCATCAACCGCAAAACGTAGGGTTGTTGAGAACCAAAATTCGGCACGTGGTTTACAGCCAGACATAAGCAGGCTGGCGACTTAGCCATTGGGAGAGGCCAAGAGGTCATCTGGTTGGATGGAGTTGGGGCCCTTTGGGTGAGCTCCAAAGGGAGGACTCTCTCTCTGCTCCCTGAATTTGACTTCTCTTTTCCATCCCAATGCAGCGAGAAGGCCCTGCAGTCCAACTACTTTGAGCTCAGCATCAAAACTGAAGCCACCCAGGGCCTCATCCTGTGGAGTGGGAAGGGTCTGGATCGATCAGACTACATCGCTTTGGCCATTGTAGACGGCCATGTCCAGATGACCTACGACCTGGGCTCTAAACCTGTCATCCTGCAGTCTACCGTCCCGGTCAACACGAACCAGTGGATTCAGATCAAAGCATCCAGGTGGGGGGGATCATAGGCTCATCCGTCCCTTTGGCCAAGTTTGATCAACACTAGGATCATAGCTTAAAGTCCCTTGACCAGGCCTGACTATCGGGCCAAAGAAAGTACAAAGAGCTGGGGTCTTCCTTAGATGTAGGAATAACTTTGAGGAGTGGGAGGCAGACCCCAGCAAAAACCACCATCAAAGAAAAGAAATTTGAGTCCAAGACAGAAATACAGTTTTAAAAAGTGTCTCAGGCTTGACTTTCCCTTAGATCTCCCAGGGAAAAAGTGGAGGGGGAGGAAATATATTAAGATTTGCAAGGTTGTCGTATTGCAATCCAACATTTCTCAATCTCTGCCACTTCGACTGGACTTCGATTCCCAGAATTCCCCAGCCAGCTGCCAAGCTGCCCCAGATGAGAAACACCAAATTGAATGGAGTCCTTCGGGAGATTTGAGCCCAGAACTCCTGTCTTCAGCTCGGCCCTTTGGTTGTGTTCGTACTACAGCTGGTTTTGTCCTGGTTTGGGTTGTTTTGAGGCACCCACTAAATTACGCGCACGAATCGTAGCCTTATTTATCCGCCAGAGAAACCGCTGCTGTCGAAACAAAACTGCTCGAGTCAATCCAGAAAATTGATTTTTTTTCCCCCCTTTAAAAAAAAGTCCCCATCTGTGATATTCCACAATCTGGAGTGAAACCAGAGATGTGTGAAAAACAGCAGCCAAAATGGAGCTGTTGCACCACCAACAACAAAGGCATTTAGCTCTCTTGCCTGGACACTTCTCGTCCTTCACATCCCCTTGGATCTCAGAGGCATCAACTGGTCACCTCTGGCCTTGTGGCCACTCCAGCCCCCCCTTGATATAAATAAAGATCAGACAAGAGCAGGAAGCCAATGGAAGAGCCCAACAGAATGGGACTTTCCCCTTGTGACCTCTTTTAGGATCACAGCAAGTCTAGGCAAGTATCTGGAGGGTGGGGGTCGGTCGCTGCCAGATGAGTCAGCCAAGAGCTGACATTGATGACCCAACGTCTAGAATGACACTTGGCGATCAAATCGCATTTCATACAAAACAAAACAAAAAAACACACCAGGCATTCAGCCAGCAGGGAAAAGGGGAAGGATTTTCTTGGGAGTCAAAGAAGGACAAACTCAAAACGAAAAGTTCTCTCAACTTCTTTTCCAGTCCCGAGAAATCTCCCATTAAATAGAGAGCGATCGAAGGAAGTAACTCATTGGAAACACCACTACTTTGCCCCATTTGGGGCTTTCCCCCCCCCCAATCTTAGTGAAAGAAATAACATCTCACACCCCCAGTGGAAAGTCAGGACGTCAAACCTCCACCCTGAGGTGCTACCTTTCCATAAGCAGGCTAATTCGGTGGAGGGAGGGCATTCAGGCATAAAGCATGCATCCTCCTTGAAAGCCAACGTTGACCCATGCAGGCACAGCCCAAGGCTGCAGGCAGAGAGGATCAGATTGGGAAAATTAACTGATGTGTGTTGGGGGGGTTGGTGAGTGTTCAAGAGGGGTGGCAGACTTAATCCCATGTTTTGACATTCAGCACCCTAAGGGAATAATGTTTATGGCTGCCGTTGAAACTCCTGCTGGAACTCTCTCATTTCCAGGAGCATCCATGAGAGGATGTTCTGTTGAGTTTGAGATGCTCTACCAACATCTTAGCTGTTGCTGCAGGGTGGTCATGTTTGGCCCATTGTTATCAACTTGGACTTCCAGAAGAAAGACTAAATCAGGGGTCTTCAAAGTTGGCCCTTTGATGACTTGTGGACTTCAACTCCCAGAATTCCTCAGCCAGGCACATGTGCCTGGCCGAGGAATTCTGGGAGCTGAAGTCCACAAGTCATCAAAGGGCCAACTTTGAAGACCCTTGGAATAGGGAGTAATTGTGAAAATGATGATTGTGCACAGTTGCCAACCTTCCTAGACTTGGTTAACATCTGGAGAGCCTCAACACGGAGAAGGTTGGTCTTGTAGGAACTTGATGAGACCTTCCTATGCATCGCCTTGTGTTTCCCCTCTTCCGACAGAGTCCATCGAGATGGGTCCCTACAAGTCGGCAACGAGTCTCCCGTCACAGGTTCCTCTCCGCTGGGAGCCACCCAGCTGGACACCGATGGGGCCCTTTGGCTGGGTGAGTCCACGAGTGTGACCCCATCACTCCGCCTTGACCTTGGCAGTGTCTTCTAAAGAACTTGGCCGTCTTAATACACAGACCTTCTCCAGGATGTGGGTTGGGTTCACCAGGCGGGAGGGAGCATCCCTCAGCTTTGAAGTCTCGCGAGACCGTCTCCCGGTCATCACGGAAAGAACCTGGGAGATCCAGACAGGGTGGGTTAGCACGGAGCTGGGCCTTCCGTCTTTACCCTTCCTCTCCGCCCTCTTTTCCCAGGTGGGCTGGAGAAGCTCGGCGTGGCCCACAAGCTTCCCAAATCCTTCCTCACCGGCTTCGTTGGCTGCCTACGAGATGTGGTGGTGGACCGCCAGGAACTCCATCTGGTGGAGGACGCTTTGAACAACCCCGCCATATCACACTGCGCGGCCCAATGAAGACACCCTGCCTCTTTTTTCTCTCTTCCCTCCGCCTGGCTATTGCTGTAATTATTTTCTATTTTTGTAAAACTTCTTGCTTTTTTATATTTTGGGGAGGGGGAGGGAGAGGAAGAGGGGGGATAGCAGTGAGACGAGGAGGAGGAGGAGGAGGAAGAAGACGAGAAGGATCACGAGAGGATCTGGTCGGAGAAGAAAATTCTTTTCGTTTACTGTTTTGTTTGCCGCATTATCTCGCCCATCGGACTCACGAGGAGCCAAGACTCCGTTAAAAACCCGGCAAAGCTTCGGAATGTGACCAAGGAACAAAGTTGCCCCTTTTTGCTTCCCGGGGTGTGTGTGGGGTGTGTGTCACTCTCCACTGTAAATGTCACTCATACTTGAAGTCATTCTTTTTATTATTATTATTATTATTATTTTTAATCAGGTTTATTATTTGTTTTGGCTGACACCAACAACACTTAAGGGGAAAACTGAAGACCACGGATAAAAAGTTGTCCATGCCACAGCGTCTCAGAACAAAGGAACAGCCAGCACCCTACGAACTGGAGGGGAGGGCGGATTTCACACACACACAAACACACACACACACACACACACACCAAATAAGCCAACAGGGACTCCCTGCAGAAGTCTAAGAGAAATTGGACTCTCGAGTTTTTACCCCAAAGCTCCAGCTGGCCCTTCAGCCTTAACTAGGCTCCATATGTTCTCCTCGTGCTCCCTGTTAGAATGACAAACTGTGTTTTTGTGTGTCTGTATATAGGTGTGTGTCCACACGCACATGCACATACCAATCCTTTGTCCTCTTTTGACAGAAGCCACAGGAGATGTAGCTCTTGGTAGCAGTGGTGAGAAACAACTTTGCCAGAGAGATGCAGGATAGGAAGGATGATCAGATGGTCTTGGAGAGGTAGGCAAAGGAATTGGGGAGAGTTAAAAACCCGGGTTGTGGGTAGCCTGGTGATCAAACAGCATTCCTTAAACCTCCGAGGAAACGAGCTTACATTTCTCATCCAGAATCTTAAAACCTTCAAGGAAACGAGCTTACATTTCTGATCCAGAATTCATAATTCACCAAGATAAGTACTGATGGCTCAGGAAGCTTGTTATCGACAGCCCAGTCACCAGCTCTTTGATAACTACCTAAGATCACACCAGGCTGAACTGATCACTCACCCAATACCTGCAAAATAATTTTGGGAGACATTTCAGAGCAGTAACCATGGTTAAGTTCAGGCAAGATGGCCAGTTGTCCTGGTTGACTGGTCTTTATGGGAGAAAAACATTTCAGAGGTTTAACCATACCCTCCCCATCCTTTGGGAGGTGTCAGTCATGCCTAAAACTGAATTCCCAGTTTTGACACACGTGTACATGCCCATGCCCATCCCGATTTGTTTCTCATGATTCATCCATGACTCTTCGGGCAGGAAAAAAAAAAGAAAATACATACCTATCTATCTTATCTATAAATATATACATATATATTTCTATGGTGTGATCTGTACAGGCAGAACGGAGTGACTTGGTCACGCTCTTTCCCACATTCCAAAACCCTTTGGTCCCAATTTTGGGGAGGTCCCTGGCAGGAGATTTGGAACGGGACCCTCTTTCCCATGGACGTACCAAGTTGCGTCCTTCACAGGAGACAACCCCTTCCGCCACGGGCTTCCTACAACGTCCTGAATTGGATTGTGGGGGAACTAACAACTCTAGATCTGGCTGGGCTGGAAGGGTGGATTTGGGAGCGTCAAATGTCTGCGTGTGTTTTTGTTCCTATAACTTCCTGTTCCTTCTTGCGCCCTGGCTTGCCTCCGAGACCTCTTTTTGCACCTTATTTTTAATCCAGCTTTGCTCTTAGTTGAAACCGCCTCCCGACAAGCTTGTGGCTCGCTCGGGTGGCTTAACTAGGACCAGACAGGGATCCTTCGGGATGCGGTTTGAATTTATTCCCTGCCGTCGCTCGACCCTCTCCGGAAAACCCCCAAAACGGTTCCCAGGAATGATTGCAGCCACCGTAAAGGCGCTGAAAATAGAAAACACTTCAGATTGCCGTACAGTCGCCGTTTTTCAAACTTGCCCAGTGTAGAACGAAGGAGACGTATCCTGACCCCTGAGAACAATTGATCAGAAGCTGTGGAGGCCTTTTTAGAAGAGGTTGGACAGCCAGTTCTCCAGAATAGTACAGGTCCTAGTACAGCCTCCAAGGTCCCTTCCAACATTTATTCTGTAATTCTGTAGAATTGGATGGATTTCAGGGCCATTTTCCCCTTCTTTGAAAATGGCTGGGGAAAAAAAATCATTTTTTCTCACGATCCTCCAAGAGCTTCCCTGAGCAGGTTGCACACTGTCCTTTCCACCTGATGCCGTGCAGTTTAGTCCGAAGGCCAGGCCAGTTTGGCCACAAAGCTGAATGTCAGGGTCCCAATTTGTTCCCCCCTCCCTCTCCTGGAGAACTAGGTACATATAGCCTCAGCATCTGGAATTTTAAGACTGGGTTTGGGGTGCTCTTCTTGATGGACTTGGAGGGGAACAATACCAGTGCAAAAACACAGTGGTTCTATTTCTCCATGTGGCCTTATTTTGTATCCTGGATTCCAGGCTCTCCCGCTTCCTGAGACCTGGGAATGCTAGGAAATAGGCACATCCCTAAATGTGAAGGAACTGGGCCAGTTTACCCTCAGAGTTAACTCTCTTCTGATTATCGGGGACCCCCTTTTACCGGTCTGGTCTCATTAACGTTGACGTTTCTGTGGTGCTAGGGGATAAACACAAGAAAACAGGACAGCCGTGTGTTTCAAACAAAAATAAACATCCCCCCAAAAAACGGGAAAAAAAGCATCTTCATGTTTCTTTCAAAGCAAGACAAGCTCCCAAGCCAACTTCCAGATGTTATGGGGGGGGGGGCTTTTTAGCTTCAACACTTGTGGGAAATTTCCAGGAAAAGAAACTTCTAGGATGATTCTGAAATGCAGCGCAGAATCTCTTGCCCTGCAGGGCCTTTTGCAACTCTGCTAAATGGAGCAATTTGCTGAACATGGGGATATTTGGGAAGGGTCTTGTTTGGTCTCAAAGGAAGGAAAAGGGCTCCAGACATTTTAAATAGATCCCATTTTTATTTGCAATTGGGTGGTTAATTGTGGCTTTGCCCCATCTGGTTCCAGTGCCATCTTCAAGGAAGGAGAGCAATGTGGCTTTAATTCTTCCTCCTGTTGTTTCCATCTTGTTAGCTCAAGGGGGTGGGGAAATAGGGTTCAGAGAAAATAATTGTGTTTTGTCAGTGAAAATTCTGGGAAATGCTTCAAGGAATTGGATAGTGCCAAAAGCACCAAGAGAAACGCCAATCTTTTGGGTGCAAGACAATTGCCTGTGGTTAACCGGACCCAGATTGACTTGACTCGGTTGGAGACCGTTTGTGGATCCTTGTTGACTTGCCGGGGTGCCGGTTGTGGTGGAATTAATAGAAATGTGGGAATGATAGACAAACATCCAATCCAAGTGGTGGCCAAGGCCGACAGTGTTCCTTGTCGTTCAACGTGGGTGCTAAAATAGGATTTCTCAAATGGTTTGGTCTCATTTTGCAACCTTCATATGTTCCTTTACCTGGCCAGGACATTTTTGGCATCAGCTTTGCAAATCGGCAATAGAGAGCATGTAAATTAAATCATTAGTTGGGGGGGGGGAAACAATCCATGGTTTGGTGAAAAAAATTATAGAAGGCTCCAGATTTGGTTTTGATCATTTCTACATAGGGCTGGAGAACCTCCCTGGAGAATCTAGAGACAGATCAGTTGTCCAGCAGTTTCTTCTGTCCTCGCAGCTCACAAGCTAGCTCCTGAAGCTCTCTTGCAGGAGCGCTAGCTTTCTGCTTGCAGAGACAGCTCCCACTTTTCCATTTGCCTCTGCACGAAGCCCCAGTTTATCACGCTCCTTAGCGGTCGCTCCTGTGAATTTTGCTTCTCAATTCCCACGCCTCAACAGAGCCTCCAACTTTGCAGGTGGCTCGTTCTGAAGTTTCCTTATTTCCTAAACCCGGGTGGAGCCAGGGGATAAATCCGAGATCAAATCCCACTGGTGGCCGTGTTTGTGGAAAAATCCCCTAACAAAGGGTGCCTTGTACTACCAGCTTGTAACACCCAGCACTCTTTTGTGATCAGTGACGCAAAGCGGGGTGGGGGAGAGGCGGGTAGCAGCTGGCCCCGCTGGCATCAGATGAAAACATCTGGCTCATGGCGGGGCAGCAGGAGAAAATAAAACGGCCCGTATCTCTGTTTTTTTGCTCGGCTTGGTAGGAAAGGGCAAGTTTTGCAGTTATCTCTGCCTTGGAAGAAAAAAAAGAGACAAATTTCCCCTTCGACTGTCTTAGACCTTTGTATCCAAAGTAAATGGACAGCCTCCGAATTTGCGATCTAGAAAAACAGCAGGAAAGGAAGATGCGACGGGGAGGGGAAAGGAACGCAAAACTGGCATAAAGTCTTCATAGTAAATGAAGCAGCAGCCTGAGATGGGAAAAGAGAAAAGCTTCTAAATGGGCCGGCCAATAAAGTTGGTCTCGTTAAGTGAGATGTTACCCATTGAGGGGTGTATCTCTGCATGAGTCACAGACCTGGGCTTGCTTCTCCAAGAAGCCTTGATTTGGGCTGATGGATTGTTTGTGTCTGCCTTAAGTGCCTGAGGGTCACTTCACTAGGACCAGTGTTTGCGGGAGGCTGCCGTTGTGTCTCTGCATGGGTTTCTGCCCATCAGGTGCGAGCGGTTTAGTGTTCAAAACAACCTATTTAGTGGTTGCGCTCAGGACACAAGAGAGGACAAGCCAGAAGTCCAGTGGGATCTCTTGTTCCGGACATTTTCCATAAAGCCCTGAGCAGTTCAGTCTGCGTGACTCAGCTGCAAAAAATCAGAAAGTGATCAGAGAAAGGAGCTATTTTATTCTCTTCCTCTTTTAAGGAGGGGGAAAAAACTTTGGAGAAACAATGGAGCCTCAGTCTGGTCCGAAAGCATTCCGAGGTCCCCGGGGCTGGTCTCTGGATAGAATTTTTAAGGCCTGGTCAGCAAGAAGGCATCCTGATGTCTCACGGCGACCAAACTGCCTTCTGAGCTCATGGCCACCTCCCTTGCTGGGGTTCCCCTACAGTCCCACGCTTGCCTTAATATAGCTCCACGAGGTCCTTCGGAATCCCTTCCAACGCTCATGAGAGGTGGGGACTTTCTGCCCCAAATGCGCAATTTGATTGAGACTGGGGTAGAAACATAATTCTCCCCTTGCCAAGTAATAATTATAATAATAATCCCCCAGTGAGGCACTACCTTGACGTGGTTGTGGGGCTTGTGTACTCTGAGGAAGATGAGAGCTACACCACTTGAATATCATTGGCGTTGACAAATTCGCTATTAGTCAATTGCAAAAGGCGGCCTTACTAGGAACTGCTTCCATCCTGCGACGAGATCTGTAATACCATCAAACATCCACATCTGCCTATCCCAGGTCCTGGGTAAGGACTCGATAGGTAGACAAAATGCCAAATCCAGTCTGAACATCTGGCTGACTGTGCGATGATCCACAATAATAATAATAATAATAATTGGAAGGGACCTTGGAGGTCATCTAGTCCAACCCCCTGCTCAGGCAATGTGTGTCTCTTTTTTTTTAAATAAATTTAAAATATCCTTTGCAGGGTGTGCAGGCGAGAATTCAGTAGTTAAAGAAGCTGCTTTGGTTCCAGGGCCTCTCCGGCGAAAAAAGGATTTGGTTAGAAAGACCTGGAGGAAGCCCTCGGCTGGCTGGCCGTCTGTCCGTCCGTCATCGGTGCTGGGCTTGAGCAGAAGCGTGGAATTTTTATTTTTTGATCTCGGCTCGAAGTCGGTTTCCAGCATCTACAGATCAGGTTAGAATCATAGGAAGGAATGAAATTCGTAGGAGCTAAATCAGGGGAGCTGGGTTTTTTTTCCTCCCAAAAGATACCTTGATTTTCCAGGAAATGGGTATGTGGTCCTTTTGGGACAAGGCTCCCCAGAAAGAGGGAACTGAATAAGACAGTAGTCGCCCCCTTTTCTAGAATTGGGATACATTGCCTGCTTAAAAGGGAAGGAGGAGAGATTGGCTTCGTGGTTTCCCCCAGAAGGATGGGCCTGAAAGTGCAGTAGTCAAGAGGGGCCATAATAGATTGCAACAGTGGGGAGTGTGGGTTCCTGGCACAGGAGCAGGTCTGAACCATGCGAATGGCATCCATGCCTATTGGTTTAAACTAGTGTTTCTCAATCAAAAATCGCTTTAAGACGGGTGGACTTCAACTCCCAGAATTCCCCAGCTGGGGAATTCTGGGAGTTGAAGTCCACCTGTCTTAAAGTGGCTTTGATTGAGAAATACCGATTCACAAGAAGCTAAATCCAGTCTGGTTCCATCCAAGTCCTAACTCTGGAAAGAGAAAAGGGAAAAAAACCAAAAACAGATTTATGCCCCCAAGTTGGACGTTTTTTGTAACCTGAAAAAGTTTGCCAGCGCCACCCCAACGTGCTTTCTTTCTTTCCCAGTCTTTTCTTTCTTTCTTTCTTTCTTTCTTTCTTTCTTTCTTTCTTTCTTTCTTTCTTTCTTTCTTTCTTAGTTCTTTCTTTCTTTCCCAGTTCTTTTTTCCCAGTTCTTTCTTTCTTTCCCAGTCTTTTCTTTCTTTCTTTCTTTCTTTCTTTCTTTCTTTCTTTCTTTCTTTCTTTCTTTCTTTCTTTCTTTCTTTTTCTTTCTTTCTTTTTCTTTTTCTTTCTTGTAAGCGCTGTCTCTTTAAAAGGCGCGACGCCGCTGCTAGGCGGTGCCTGTTGCCAGGCGGCGGGGATTGGCGGAGCGGGGATTCCCTTCGGTATGACGTCACTGGGCCAGCCGAGCTTTCCCCTCGGCTGACACGCGGGTTCCTAAAGCGGCCGGCGGAGGCGGAGGAGGAGGCGTGTCTTGGCCAATGGGGAGCTCGGGCGTCGTGGGGACGGGGCGGTAGGCTCTCCGTATATGGCAGAGGAGGGGGCGCGGCCTGGGGCAAGGCTGCTCTCGGGGGCAGCCGCTCCCTTTGGCTCCCAGCTGCTCGGCCAGCCAGCCACTTCTGAGCTGCCGAAGGGGAGACACGCGTGTTTCTCCTCCGGGCCGGTGAGCAGAGAGCTGTTTCAGCCGGGCCAGAAGCCGCTGCAATGATTTCCCGCAGGTAAGGACGTCGGTCAGCTCTGCCTGGGGGAAAGGGAGGGAGCTGGGGGTAGACTGCTCCTGGGGATGGAGGCTCCTTTAAAGAGCGAGCCGGCTTCTGCGCCCAGAAGTGGGTAGGAAGGCGAGCAAACCGCAGATGGGACACTCAGAAACATGGTTTTAAGGTGACAGGAAGGTGGTACATCCTTGGTTCAACTGGGGTGGGTGGGTGGGTGAGAAACCCCCTGTCCTTCACCCCAAAGCTGGATTTAAAGTCACTATCTAAGGGCGACTGTGTGTGTGTTGGAAATAGGAAATATAAATAAGTAAAAGATCATGTCCCCGCACAGAGATAGACTGCTTCTGACAGTGGAGGTTCCATTTGTATAACACACCTCTGTAGATCGACCCCCTTGGGGTTCGGGGGGGGGGTGTTTCAGGAAAAGGGGGGATGCCAAATTTATTTGGGTGGGAGGTAGCAGGGAAACATCCTCTTCTGAGGTTGAATATTTGAACTTTATTGCTGGGGGGGGGAACGCAACTTTTCTCATCCGTGGAAGCCGGCTGCAGCCTTCTTGGGTATCTTTGAATCGCATCCTGTACGTGTGTTTCCTTTCTGCCCTAGTTAGAATGTAAATATCACTTCAGAAGCAACGTTTCCTGCCTCTTTTTCCTATTCCTCCCCCCCCCCCTCGAAAAGCTGGAGGCCGTCAGCGCCTCATCCCTTCCCTCTCTTTAAAGATTTAAATCCACCGGGACTTCTGAGATCTCTTTAGCCTCTGGGCCAGACGCCTGCCTGGAGTAACCCTTTCTTTCCTCTTACTCTAAGGAGTTAGGGCCGCTCTGTGAAAAAGAGCTTTTTGCAATCCTCTGTAAAAGCTTTCCTTCTGTGTTTCTTTTCCTTCCCTTCTTCTCTCTACCCATCCATTCTCCCTTGCTTCTCTCTGCTCCTTCACTTCTTCCCTACCTCTCCTCTTTTTTTGTCTTCTTTTCCTCTCTTCCTCCTCTCCTTTCTGCCTTCCTTCCATTTCTTCTCTTTCCGTTCCTCCTCCCCTTCCTTCCTCTCTTCGTCCTTTCTTTTTTCTTCCTTCCTCCTTTCCTCTCTTTCTCCCCTCCTTCTCTTCTTTCTTTTCCTTCTTCTGTATTTCCTTCCTTTCCCCTCTTCCCTCGGCTAAATATCGCCCCTATGACCAGGCTCACCTCATCCCCACTGACCTAAAATGAACTTCCCTCACTGAAAATCCTTTCATCTTGGAATTCTTGCTTCCGTCTCGGCTTGACAGTGGGTGGAAACTGGTTAGTATCCTCTTTTGAGCACGAAAACCCTCTGGCACGTGTTAATCGACCTAGCCTGCACATCCACTATGAAACCCAGGCAAAACGGGGTTTCACTACCAGGTTTGCTTTTGGCAAGGAAAAGCTAGCCAGCATGGCCTGCAAACTGTGGTTTAGGACGAGCATGGATGCTTCTTCCAGATGCCACAGCTTAGCCTGGGATGGCACTCAAGGACCTTGTCCGAGGCTGTGCATCTGGGCCTTATATATATATACATATACACACACACACACACACCGCACACACCCCGCACTAACCTTTCTGTTGGAAGAGCGAGATAAAAACGTAATCTATTCGCACTGTCACTGGACAGGAATTTCTTATTTTAAAGCTCTATTTTTAATGCTCCCAGTTTGTTTTTAGACCAGTCAGCTCTCAGGGTGTCTTAAGTATATATATATATATATATATTAAATGCACAATTAGAAAAGAAAATAGAAAAAGTCAGCCTCTCCCTTCAAACCAGACGCTTCCGCCAACGTCCAACTTTGAAGCTGCTTAAGACGATTGATCTGGTTACTTTAGAGGGATTTCATGGAGTGAGAAACCCAGACAATGGGAGGATTGATTTAGGAAGCCAGGTTAGGGGTGGCCCTGTTTGCTCAACAAGACATGATACCGTCAACCTAACCAAGTTGGGTCACTTTGCTTTGGTGAAAGCTTAAGCAGAAAATCTAAAAGTTCCTGACTGTGAGAACAATTAGTTTTGTCTTCAAAAATTGTAGTGCTCCATCATTGGACGTTTTTAAGATTGGACAACCCTTTGTTCAAAACAGTCTAGGGTCTCCTGCTTGAGCAGGGGGTTGGACTAGATGACCTCCAAGATCCCTTCCAATTCTGTTATTCTATTCTATTCTATTCTATTCTATTCTATTCTATTCTATTCTATTCTGTAATTCTATTCTATTCTGTAATTCTATTCTATTCTATTCTGCAATTCTATTCTATTCTATTCTGTAATTCTATTCTATTCTGTAATTCTATTCTATTCTGTAATTCTATTCTATTCTGTAATTCTATTCTATTCTATTCTATTCTGTAATTCTATTCTATTTTCTGTTCTATTCTATTCTACTTTCTGTTCTGTTTTGTTCTGCATTTTATTCTGCTCTAAGGAGGAACGAAAGTCGTGATTAACAATCCCTGGTGCCAAGGGTAGTGCTTGGAGGAGAGAAATATTTTGTCAAGAAATTTGGGGGTCCATCTGTCTCTTAGCAAGGCTAAAGCAAGTCCCTCGGTCTCTGTAAAAGAAACTGGTGCAAATACGAGACCTGTAAAGAACAGCCCAAAAGGTATGCTTGTAAAAATACGGCCATGGAGGTGTGGAAGACCAAAGGAGAAAATGTGACGTACTCTTGGCACAGAAAGGATTTTGAGAAGATATCAACACATTGTCGCTTGGATGGGTGCACATCAGTTTCCTGCCTGATCAGGGGGTTGCACTAGATGACCTCCAAGGTCCCTTCAAACTTTATTATTATTATTATTATCATCCCCACCAGTGCCGTAATGCTTTTTCGCCCCAACCGTTGTATCCAGTTTGTTTCCAAAACTGCTAAATTGCATCTTTATGTGTAAACCACATCGACCCCTTCAAAAGCTCCCATTTCTCCTGTCCCTTCACTATTATTTTTTTTCTTTTAAAAAAATTCCAGCATGGTTATGAGATCCCAGCATGTTTGCAACCAGCTTTAATCCCAGCGTTCTTCCTCATTACAATTTTAAACCATCATTGCAAAGAGGGCCTGCCAAACCAACCGGGACATTTTTGAAAATAAGGTGGATTCAGCGGATCAAAAACTCTGATCTGGTACAAGCCAGTTGCATCGCTAGGTAATCCTCGGCTTACGGCATTTCGCTCAGTGACTCTAAGTTACAACGGCACTTAAATAACTTATGACCGTTTTTCACACTTATGATCGTGGCACCATCCCTGGGGTCACGTGCTCAAAATTCAGGCGTTTGTCAACCGACCTGTATTTACGACGGTGGCAGGTCACATAAAAACTGACTCACTTAGCAACAGAAATTTTGGGCTCATTTGTGGTGTCGTAAGTTGAGGACCACAAATTTTATGTTAACCTTTTTTTTTTTCTTTCTTTTTCCTCCCACATTGCGAAAGAGGGTCAGTTTCCTGCTTTGTTTTTATGGCACTTTACGGTTTTTTTTTTTTTTTTAAAAAAGTCTTTGATTTGTGTGGCTTCCAAGTTTATTGAGGGAGAAGACCACATCTGCAAATAATTATTCTGCGACTTCCCTAAAAGTCAACTCTTTTAAGATCAGGAAATGCCCTCTGAAGGAAAGAAACGCAAAGACAAAAACAAAAAACTTTGCTGGCGTGTTTTTTTTAAAAAAAACATTTGACAGCTCAAAGGAAACCCAGTGGAAACACCTCCCCTTAAAGATCTTTGCAGAAAAGCATCTTCCCTCCTACGCTGGAAAATCTGAACGCAACGTCTTTTGAAAAATTGGAAGAGGAAAAATAGGCCCCCACCCAAAATAAAAGCTCTTGCTTTAGAAAAATTCGTGGAGGGGTTTTCCTTAGAAGGCTGTCGCACCTGTTCATCGAGGGGTAAATAGATAAACGGAATTTTTCTCTCTCTCTGTTTCGTATCATTTAAAGAACTTTAGAATCTACAGCACAGAAGAAGATCTGGGTGCTTAACCAGGAGCGTCCAACTTCAGCAACGTGTAGACTTCAATTCCTCAGCCATCAAAGCCGAATTCTGGGACTTGAAGTCTGCAGGTTCTCAGGAGTTGCCAAACAAACAGCTATTGATACTTGGGAGTTCCCAGATTGAAAAAAAGAGCCTCCCCAGCTGGGGAGACTCTACCTTTAAATATTGAACCGCTTACCATGATGCTCAGCTGGTGGAGTTCCTCTCCTAGTTCCAGAAGATGCCAATTTCAATCTTTTTTCACCCACCTTATTTTTTCCCTCTTGGTTCCTGCAAAAGGCCTGCGTGACTCTCCTGTTCTCTTCCTGCTCGATCTGATTTAGCAATGTCAGTTTTTCCCAACACACACACCACACACACACACACACAAGCTGTTTTGTCTTGATTGAGCTGCCATGTCTGTTCCAAACGGACGCGCTTTGTCGTGTTCCTACCGATGACTCAGAGTTACAAACTTCCAATGTCCTCGGGATGGGATCACACGAGGGATCACAGATCCTTTCCTCTCTGCTGTCGGCAGACCGCAAGGGGGTGAAAAAGGTGACCCCCAAACCTTCCTTTACAAAACCCCCAAATGTTTCAGAGCAGATCTGCAGGACTAAATGACAGAAAATTAAACAATTGCATGGCGGTTAGATCTTCGTGCGAGGCTGAGAATCATAGGAAGCTGACAGAGGTGACTTGGGTTTTAGGAGCCTGTCAAGTTACTAACCCACGGCCAAAATGTGTGAGGTTTGGGGGTTTTTTTTGGCAACATAGGTGAATTCCTCAGTTCCTTTCACCAGCGCTGATTTTCCCTTACATTACAAAACCCTGAAAAAATAAAGACAGCCTCAGCATCAGAGCGAGGGTGCAAAATCACACCTGTAGTCAAAAATCCCATTTTGGCAAATGCTTTTCACCACTTTTGACCTGGGCGCCCATCTATATGGCTGCAGAAATCTAGCCACAATCTAGCTTGCAAAACGGGGCCAAGACAGTGCCCCAGAAGTTAAATCTGTGGCCTGG